CTTCCCTGCATCCCTTCTTATTAAGTCCCATGCACACCCCAACAGTTCTCACAATAAGAGACAGGGACAGCCCTAACACAGTCTTCTGTCACAGGTGTTTGCTGATTGCAAGTATGAACCCATTGCAACTCTCAGCACCAATGTGCCAATCTTGTCCTGTGGTGGCTTGGCAAAGCGGTGGCTCGTACCTGGCTGGCGGATGGGCTGGATCCTAATTCATGACAGGAGAGACATCTTTGGTAATGAGGTGAGAACCGCTGAGTGTTGCTGTCATGGCAACACACTTGCAGAGTCTTCAGTGTATGGATCAACAGGTCTTTGATACAGGCAGGTATTGCTCTCACATGGAATTGATCTTACATACATTTATGCAACTCCAGGCTCTTTGTGCCCCTTCCTTACTCCATCTGCTTCCAGACACGGTCTTCCAACCACATCTACACTGTAACACACTCCTTGTTTCTGCTGTTCCTTAATACATGCCTTGTCCTTTTCTTGTACATCTAAATTCTCTTCTCAAATAGCTCCAATGTGCACTGAAAGTATTGCATGACTTATCCAGCGTGTGAAGTCCATGTGTGATGTCTATGTGCTCTTACATGGTTTCTCTTAAAAGTAAGCACATGCACCCTGCAGTGCTGCCAGTGCCTTATCTGGCTATTTTTCAGCTGTGTTACAAGAACAACCATCTACTGCAGTGACCTTTCCACCTAGAAGGCTCTCTGCAGAGGAAGAGGGAGAAGAGAGGACCAAATGAGTGAGCAGAAAAGCTAATGTTGATTGCCCTTACCTGGTTTTGAAAGTGTGTATTGTGGGTCCAAAACTAAGGGAAATGCAAAGTGGTATTTGGAACAGCTCTGGCTTTTTTTGTATTCTCTGTATTTCAGCCTGGTTTGAGTCAGATTGGGAAGCTCCAAAGGTTTTCTCTGTTGGTATTGCAAACAAGGAACAGAGAATGGCACTGTAAATAGTCTGCAAAATCTGGCATATAGTCAAGCAAGTGTTCTTTAGTGCTCTGTACGCTCACTGAAGAGAGGGGTGTGAACAGCTGTAGAAATACAGCAAGTGGGCCTTGAAGGTTCCTCTCCTTAAGAGAAGCATCATCTGAGCTGTAAGTGTCATGATGTTTTCTCAGATCAGGGATGGCCTTGTAAGACTGAGTCAAAGGATCCTAGGACCCTGTACCCTTGTCCAAGGAGCACTGGAGCGCATCTTGCGCCGAACACCGCCTGAGTTCTACCACAACACCCTGAGCATCCTCAAGGTAAACAGAGAAGCAAGGTTTGTTCACGAATTGTTTGGAGGGAGTCATATCTCTAGCTCATCATCCTTCCCCACCTCACCTCAAGGCACAGTTTTGTCTGTGACCAGGAGACCCCAACAAATCAGACTCCAGCAGGAGACATTGTAACTGGGGCAGAAACATTGACTGGCATAAATTTCAGGCAGCCCAGCCCTGCATCTGGAGTTGCTGGCCCAGGGGATAGATGGAGTATTTGGCACTGACTTGCTGAGCTCAACTCAATAACACCTGCTGTGCTCAAGGCCATGATCTCCCATGGTGTTTGCATTTGCTGTGCCTTTGTTTGCAGTAGGCAAACCTGCTTATAGTCCCACTTCAGAGTTTGGCTTCCATTTGCTGAGCTGCTTCCTGGAATTTCACCTATTTTGAAATTTCTCCTTTTTGCTTTTCAGTCCAATGCTGACCTTTGTTACGCTGCCTTATCAGCTATCCCTGGCCTTCGGCCTGTCCGGCCCTCTGGAGCCATGTACCTCATGGTAAGTGAGGAGAATGATGTGCCTTTTCCAGACCACCAACACTCACAATGGGTCTCATTACCACTGCTTGTCAGTTTTTCAGATTGGTACTTAGCAACAGATCTCCCTTACTGTGCATTTTCACGTTCCCTCTGCAGTAGATGCATCCCCAGGTCACTTAAGAAGGCCACAATATGCTGTTCACAGCTCACAGAGCAGAGGCCAGTACAGTTCATGCCCCTGCTCCTGCACAGACCTCCATGAGTTGTTCTTGGCAAGATTTGTTTTACCTGGATTGAAGCCAGGTGGCAATGGGAAGCCCCTACACTACAAGGCAGATTTTCATACCTCCTGTAGATGTAACCTTCTTCATAGTATCCTGTGTTGTCTTCCGTCTATGGTGTTACCTCTTTTTCTGCCTTTTCCCATGCCTATTTGTTTTAGCTTTTTATAATATGCTGAAATTTCCTTTTTCATCTCATCAAGCTCAACTGAGACATTTATGACACTTCAACACATTTTGAATCTTTTATTTTTTTTGTCTCATAGTATCTCCAGTTTTTCATCAGATCTTAACATGTGGGCTTAGAACTGGGGAATATTGCAATATCAGTCTCACTCATGTTCTATAGAGAAATCCTTATCAGTGGACTTGTTTCCAGTTTTACCCAGGGCTACAAATGTAATTCTGCTTATGCTCTTTGTGTAGAGGCACAGCTTTAAGATTCTTTCACACCTACTGTATTTCTACAGTAGCTGATCATTTATTTCAAACTAGATCATCTGGTATATTTTTTCCTACCAACTCTTTCAGAACTTCTGCATGCAAATTATTTCTCAAATTATGTGTTTAACAATATTTTCATGAGATGTTCAAAATAATTTTTGGTTATAGAGGTCAGGCTGGATGGGGCCCTGAGCAACCTGATCTAGCAGTGGATGGCAGCCCTGCCCATGGTGGAGGGGTTGGAACTAGATGAGCTTTAAAGTCCCATCCAATCCAAATTTTCTAGAATTCTATAAATGAATGGCCAGAATAGCACTGTTTTTAAGTGACAGATGGACAGCTGCCTTCTTTCCAAATACAGAACAGAAATATTTATTGAAGATTTTTGTATTTTCATGTAATTTTAAATTTTTCATATCATTCTACAAGGATTTATTTTGCTCATGCTATTACATACCTTGCTATCTTACTTTTTTTAAACCAAAGCATTATTTTGTCTTTTTCTTACCATATAGATTTCTTGCATGACAGAATTATTAATGCATATTAAGTTCTCTACCAAGCTCTTTTTCAGTGTTTTATTTATTCCTTTTCATTTCTAATTGGTTACTGTATCTTTGCCATCAGGTACTTTTTACTGAAGTTGTGCTTGACTGAAATTCCAGCTTTAGGTAGTTAATGAAGGCTTCTTGAGAAGCCCAGTTCTCATTAATATGTTTCTTTTTGTATCTTACATTCAAGTCAGCCCAAAAAATTGAGGGCAGACAGAGGGCAGACAGCTGCACTTGACTGGGAAGCTGTTGGGCCATGTGTGTAAACAAGGACACTGCAGATAGTTTTGGTGCCCTCGATTGCCATGTTATCTCCCTCTGCCGCAGGTTGAGATAGAGATGGAGCATTTCCCGGAGTTTGAAAATGATGTGGAGTTCACTGAGCGACTCATCTCGGAGCAGTCTGTGTTCTGCCTGCCAGCCACGGTGAGCCTCATGCTGAGAGCCCCAGGGAGCCGCAGGGCCAAAGCATGGCAGGAGAAGCTGCAGGGCTTGGCATCCCTGAGCTCTGAGGGCAGGCTGGGATTTGCGTGTGCAGTGCCCGTGGTCTGCAACAGTGTATATGAGCTGACTTTCTGCTCCAGGTGCTGTGTGTGGCAGTCTCTGCCTCACTAACAGCCCTCAGTCAGGCTGCCAGGATCTCCCCAGCTCCAGGCTTGCTCTGTATCGCTCAGGTTGGCAGAGCTGTACCCCTGAACTCCGTGTACCACCACACCTTCTTGCTGAAGGTGCTCCTTCAGAGACCTGGGGCTGCTCCCACTCATGTTCCTTTCCTCAGGCTGTTTCCAGCCCTCTGCCCCTGTAGTCCCAAGGAAGGCTGAGAAGGTCTGTGCCCTGTGTTCACCTTCTTCCAGCTCCATTTCCAATATGGGATGTGGACAAGACCTAAAATATTCTCCAGCCTGCTCCTTCACTAACTCCTCCCAGTCCATTCCCTGGGTCTGCATAGCCCACACAGAGAGTTCTTGGGCCTGTCACCCTCACAGCGTCATGTCTACACAGATGGGGATGGGAGATTTGCTTCAAACAAAAAAAAAACCAGTCTAAGGGAGCAAGAGCCCAGCCCTGCTGTCCTACACTAACCATTTTCACTTGTTGATGCAGGACGTGGCCCCAAGGCAGGGCTCTGAAAGTACAGCACTATGCCAGGTAATCACCTAGCTTCACCTTTTTTTCTTTCAGTGCTTTGAGTACCCAAACTTCTTCCGAGTGGTGATCACCGTGCCTGAGGAGATGATCTTGGAGGCCTGCAGTCGCATTCAGGAGTTCTGTGAGATGCACTACCAGGGTGCTGAGGGGGCCCAGGATCTGGAGTGTGACAAGTAGCCGCAACTGGCCTCCTGCCTCTGTCGGGCTAGACCTTGTGTGAGGCAGCAGCCAGGCAGGCAGAGCTGCTTCCAGCCAGCCCCACATCCCTCTGCCTGCAAGCAGCCACTGTCTTGCTGTGTCAATTTTTGTGCTCCAGAGACCCCTCAGCACTATGGGAAGAAGACACCACTTCCTCTTCTCCTCCACTACAGCCTGCACACCCTCTCGCATCCAATCCCCCGGTCTCCATATAGTCAGCATCTGTACCCTGTGTTGGTCTGTGCTGCCTGTGAACCAGCTGCAGGCAGGGGCAGAAGGCTGTTCCTGGGCCAGGCCCTGTGGCAAAGGCTCCGTTGGCCTGTGACTCCTGTGCTGGCCATGCTTACCCTAGGGGCCACTGTCTCAGAGGATAAGAGAAAAGTACCCACCTCTCACTTACCTGTGTTACTTTAGGAGGCCAGAGCTCTTTATACTGAGCCCTTTGTGTGACAAAGGGAGTAAGTTATTGTAACTTTTTTTATTAATAAAGATTCTGACATGTTAATCGTGCACTGTGCTCTTGCTGCACCTGGTCAAGCTTGGTCACTGTGTGTGTCACCCTTGCTGGCCCCATGGCGCTGCAGTGCCCCAGGGTCTGTCCCCACCTTGTGGCTGGCTGCCCAGGGCCATCCTGTGTGACAGCACAGACACGGTGAGAGTGCCTCAGACCCCCAAAGGAACCCATCAGGCCTGGGAGCAGGATGGGCCCTGCAAGCTTGACATAAACTGGAGCCAAGGCAGCTCTCTTTGGCAGCCTGGCTGCTCCCCAGAGAACGGTCCCGCCTGCACCTGCCCCTTGGCCCTCACAGCCCTCCCGCCATGGACCCCAACAGAGCAGCAGGTGCTGGTGCCAACTGCTGTGGGGAGGCAGCTGCCCCTGGGACGGAGCCAGCCATGCAGGGTGCTGGTGCCTAAGCACTCAAGGCTGGGGCAGCCACATGTTTCCTGCTCCAGTGGTGAATCATGGGGCGGTGCCCCATGGCACATATTGTATGGGGTTTTTTTGACATGCCAGTGGGGCCAGGGTTACTGATTGCTGAATACATCAGCTCCGTAGAGTAATAAGGAAATAGTGGCCTGATATCTGTTCTGTGGAAACGAGAGGAGGTGATAACAGCCACCAGAGCACACGTCCTGGTCAGCTGCCCAGGAGCCACTTCTGGAACTGACAGAGGGGCAAGCTGCACAGTGACTCATGTCATCCCCTCCAGCTCTGCTCACCTGTCCTCCTGCAGACTTGGGATCCACGGGTCAACCCTGCCTCACTAGAGACAGTAAAAGTGAGCTAGCTCTAGATTACACACTGCCAGACCTGACAGGTTCTGTAGGCATCTCACAGTCTCCCCTTACCTTGCCCAATACAAAATCTGGGTACCAGTAGTCCATTAGAGGGGAGGTATCTATATGAGAAAGACAGCAGTGTATGAAAAGGTCTCTGACACTTCAGCTGAGTGTCCATGCTACATCTTTTCATTTCAAAGAAAGCAATCTCAGAACAAAAAGAGAGGGAAGCTGGGACTATGGGTGAGTAGTACACAGCATTAGAGATTTCATGCCATTAGACCTCTCAATAGAGCCAAATAACCAGAGCTGCCTAAAATTAAACACTGACAAATAATAAGTAGAATGGTGTGTGAAGGGTCTATTGGGCCAGGAGACCTTCACAGCGTGATGTTTCTGCATTGTTACACCACCTTGCACCTACTACAGCTGTCAAGTTTCATCTGTTTCCTTGAACTCTTCATGCATCTTAGGTTCTGTGGCCTTAATCCCCATTACTAATGAACAGATCCTGCTTTTAGAGAAAGCTGCCCATTTGAGATCACTCTCCCTTCAGGAATCCCACTTTTTTTCAGAGTCCCCTCAGAGATGTCTGTTAACCTGCAAATATTTTGCAATAATTAACATGATTTTATTTCCTCTTGACCCAGTAGCATTTGGCCTGGGATGCTGAGGGAGCCATACCTCACAACATTCAGTATATTTAGATTTCTTAAGGCCACATCCTCTTTTGCCATATTTTGCAAACATAACACTGCCTTTTGACTACGCCTAAGTTTTCCTTGATGCAATAGCAAACTAGCATTAAACCACAAATGTGCTGGTATCATTTTTCAGGTATTATACTCACAGATGCTTTGCGTAACAGTGTGGGTGTAGCCTAGAGCACCCTGCCAGCCACACAAACTAGCCTAAGCTGGTGTTTGGAGCTGCTTTGTGCCGAAGAAAGCCCCTTCAGCAATGAGACCAAGCAAGAAGTCAAGATACTGCCCTGAAGCTGCGCTTTGTAGATGCTCAGACAAGGTCTGCAGGGCTTTAGTAGAACTCCCTGAGAGCCCTTATGCCTGATTCTGGGAAAGTAACAGCAGATTGGTGAGGAGGATTGTAGACACGCTCAAGTGACTTGCTGAGGTGAGGTGTAGAAAAACACGTGTATTGGACTAGTTGTTGTTTAGCCTGGTGTGTTTGATGAGTAGTACGTCTGTGTTTAGATAACACAGGCCTGTGATAGACTGAGAAGCACCCCACTGAACATGACTGAGATTCCTGCTCTGCTGTGTTAAGATCAAATCTCAGTGGTAAGCTAAGCCTGCAATGAGCCCTGATATATAGGTGAAAAGATCTGGTTTGGTGATCCTTGAGCAAGGACCAGGCTCCACAGTGCTGGCATCCCTATTCGTGTGCCTCTGCCTTTGGGTACTGCTTTGAGGATCCTCTGGTTGGTGAGGTAGTGGAAATAAATTTACTCTGTATTTCATCTGTGGTTTTGTGTTTGTCCCTTCATCCTGCCTCTGCCAGCTCCCACACTGATCCACAGCCAAGCTCCTGTCTTAGCTGTGGTGCACTCTGGCACAGGCTTGCAGTGTGCTTCTGCTCTTCTCTGCTGTCTGGACTGGCTGTGTTTAGGAGGAGAGTGACCTACCCCACACAGGCAGAGAGGCAATCTGGTGCCTAGTGCTCTTCTTGGAAAGTAAGGAACTTCTCAGCTCAGGGGCCAGTGCAGGCGAGGTATACTAGTCCTCAGCTTCCGAAGGCTCAGCAGGGTTCAGCACTGCTGGCAAGCAGGGCCATATCACACCTGCCAGCAGTGAGGCCATCAGCTCCCACAGGTGCCTTAGGAACCTGAATGCAGCCCTGGCCTCACCCACTCCCTCTTGTAGCAGCCCTGGCTGACTACAACAGGGCTGTAGAACAAAGGGGTTTCTGAGGGTCTTCCTGCCTTGGTGCCATGGCTTTTTGCTGCAAGAGCTTGTCTGCACTGGTCTGCTCTCCACCGGCATGTAGCCACTCTGTACACCTGCAGTGGGAAGATGCGGTTTGCACTGATCTGAGCCCAGGATGGTCGCAGGAGTCAGTCTGGGAACGAAGGTGGAGGCTGTGGAGTCCCAGGGCCCAGCCTGCCCAGGAGCTCAGGCAAGGCGTGAGCATCGTGTGGGAGTGGGACCCCAGGGGAAAGTGTCCCTGCAACACTTCTTTGTACATGGCTGGCACGTAACCTTGTTCTCCCAGGCTGTGCAGGCCTGTCAGAGGCCAAAGGAGCTGACTTGCTCTGGTGGCATTACCCAAGACACACAGCAAAGGGAGGCGCAGGTAGACTTGCATGAGGACGAGAAGTAGTCAGGGAAAGACTGTGGATGTAAGAGGAGGCAGCAGCAGTGGGCTGGGAAACAATACTTGCTCGAGGTGACTGGGAGGGATTTTGCAAACCAGAGTGTGAGAGGGCAGAGGAGTTCTGTGGGAGGAGGAAGGCTCAGCATGGACAAAGTCTTGCTATTGACATGACAGCCATGAAAGGCACAGCCTCAGCAGGGTTCCAGTCACCAGAAGGCACCTAAAACTAGCTAAGCTAAACTGGTCAGAAGAAGGTTATGGTTATATCTTCTATACTGGCCTTCAGCCTGTGTCCCCAGCACTGGGAGAGCTTCCTGGGGGGCAGCAGCACTGGGATTTTCCTCATGGTTTGGCTGTCTGGCACAGGCTCTCACAGTGCTGTCATGAATTGTCTTCAGTTCTCTTGTTTGACTTGGGTCGGTGTTCCCTGAAGCTTTGCCAGAGCAAATAGGTGCTGTCAATAGGTCTAAATGACTTATTTCCTGGATACCTGGCAGAAGTAGCTGGTGCTAGCATGGTAGTTGGTGCTTCGGTACTCCAGTGCACTGCGTGAGCTTATGAATGCTTCATGTCTGCTTATCGCTGTTGTTTCTCTCTACCCTAAACTAGCTGTTCTGCTCTAAGACTCAGTGCTTTGCTGATTTCTGGTTATAGACTGCCTATGTATGTAAAGAAGGCAGAAGTGAAATTAATTCAAAAGTAGAATAAATACCTTTTTTTCTTATTTTTTTTATCTTTTCTGCAATGTGTTGATAAAATATTATGTGACCTCATTTTTAGACCTTATTTTCACAACCTTCTTTCTTTCTTTCATTCATGTTTTCCCATTTTACTGTTCTCCCACCACTTGATATTAGGAGGCTATATTACAATGAAAACAATAAATTATACTGCAACTGCACTCAGGGTGAGAGAGGGAAGGAGTCAGCCACTATCCTTGCTCTTGCCTACTGCAACTTTGGGTACTTATGTGCCAATTCAAACACATCTGTTTATCTCAAACTGTTTCTAAATAAAAATATAACTTTAAAACTTATCTCTAACACAAGGAAAAGGCCTTAGCAACTTCAGTGCAGGAGCACACCCACCTATCAAATTACCGTCAGGTTTCTTCTCTGGAAGGAGCAGAGTTTTCCCTGTACAATTCAAAACATGATGATGTAGCAGTACTCAAATCCAGTAATCAGCACAGGAGAACATTCATAGCTTTTATGTGACCAGCCACATTGCAGCTTTCTGTCATACTCAATCTTGCAGAGCCATAAATTTCCATCTTTCCTCTACAGCTTTAGTGGTGTCAGCTAAAAAGCAACTGAACTCCCTCTGCTTTGAAAGGCAGATGTCTTTCCGTGGTAAGCATTCACCAGTGCAGTCATAGCACTGACTCTTCCAGCAGTTCCCTGGTGTCAATAACATTTGGGATGCAGAAAATGTGAACCATCCCCTCACCTACCTAAAAGATGTAGAGACTTCCACAGCATGATTGCCATAAGCTGCTTTAGGTGTCAACCTACTATGAATTGTTCTGCAGGGTGTACAAGAGCAGATATTAAAATCTTGGATAGCTTGAGGACTACAGGTAGGGAGAAATTACTCATTGTCTCTCTTGATTAAAAAAAAAAAAAGTAATAATATCAAAACCAGTTTTTATATGTAGATTCAAAACAGAGGGAAGTAGTTCTCACAACATGCAGCCAAGCATACATCTATTCCCAGGACATCTTGTTGACGTCAAAAGTATCTGAATTCAAAACAAGATTGGAGAAGTGAATATAAAAAAAATCTAGGTGCTGTCAAATGCAAAGACAAGGTTAATCTGAACTGAGTTTAGACATCTTCTACGTTTACGCAAGCATCACCCTCCACTCTTGTCACAGCCAACAGAAAAGGAATAGGAACTGTCAGGGCATCATTCACTAGTTTATTTTGGACATCTCCATTCAGAGAGGTGAATTGTGTCATCCAGATCCCTGGCTTCAGGCCAAGAGAGCCTGTAGGGAGTAAATGTGTTTCTTGTTCTCTTCCCTAGGCATTGGCTTTTGACGATGGCAGAAGACAGGGCATGGAGTTAGTCAAACCATACAGCTGATCCAGTTTCACTGCTCCAGGTATGCCTCATCAGCTAACAAAGACACATCCTCAGGCAAACTACACACAGTTGGAACAGAAATTCTGATACATCTCTGCTCATGCAACTGTTGGCCAGGGAGGAAAACGCTTCAGGAAGAGCCACTCAAGTAGTGTGACCTTTACAAAGGTTTTGCAGCACTTCATGACCTACAGGTAAATCCTTCCTACAGACAGTGTCAGTGTAGGGCATGGGAACACACAGCTGAAATTCAGGTTTTACAAAACATTGCATGGTTCATTACAGGGCCCTACCTGGGCCACTGCCAGCTTCTCACCTTGTTTCCCAGCCCAGGGTTACCAGGGCTTGACCATTTGTGTTGGCAGTGCAGCAAGTGAAATGGAACAGGATCTGCCTCATTCGGGTTGCTTCTCCTCCTGGAAGCGCCAGCCTTGCCCAGATTTTTTGCTTCTGCTGTCTCCTATACTCCACTTGCCCTGAGAGCAGCTCAGTGATGTCCCTGGGGACAGGGGACACCATTAAGAGAAGGTCTACATCTCTCCAAATGGTGTGACAGAAACTATGAGATGTGGAATAGGAATGACCCAAAGCAATTTTCTCTACACAGTACCATTTCTCTTGAGCCCAGTGACTGCCCTGATTCACTACCTTGCCTAGCACAGCCCCACTGCAGCTCCAGCACCTTTGTGAATCATTAACAGGCCAAGTCCAGCTGCTCCTTCCACAGCTTCTCCTTTCACACAATTTTCTTTCCCAGCCCTAAGATGTTTAATTCAAGCAAGGCACAGACAGAGAAGAGACAAAAAGATTTTATGTGAATTCGCATTTCCTGACAACATGACAAGCAGCCAAAGCAATGGTTAGGGAGATTTTACTTGAATTAGCATTTCCTGACAATATGACAAGCAGCCAGGGCAATGGTAGGAAAATATGCCTTGTCTCTGCACTCCTGGTGGCACTCCTGACACTGCATAGGCGTCCCTGTTCCTCCTTTTAGAGACAGCCATCTCTTTTGCTTGCAACAGGACTTAGTTTAAAAGCACTTCTCAGCCTCCTTCATAAACTTTCTGGCCCTGCTCCTTTATTAGCAGTGCCTGGTCATCTGAGCCCCTGCAGTCCGATGCTTTGTGCTTAGTGCAGGGTGGAGCCTTACTAGTCCGAGGCTGATCAAAGTAGGCGGGCAGTGCAGAGCAGTCAGTCTTAGATCTGGGATGTACACAAATGAAGGGGACAGGAGGGAGCAGCAGCAGGTGTAGGTAGGAGCTCAGAACACGCGTAGATGAGAGCCCAGCATGAAGGCAGAGTGTTCGTGTGACTGCTTATAGAGAGCTGTGTACCACAGCAATGAACTTTGAGGGCAACTTTGCTTGAATCAGGCCCGGTGGTGCTTCAGGAGGACTTGCTAAGGTGAGAGATTTTTCAACCATTTCTTGGTATCTGGTGTGGATGCTCTTGTGCCCAGGACTGTAGTCACTGCTCATGCTCAGCATCCTGAACTGGGAAATAATTTTTGTAAAACACTGCAAACATACAGATGCCAGCAAATTGCTACGATTCTTCCTGCAGACAGAAGTTGTTGGCCTGATTTAGAGGGTAGCTCCTGCTTCTACAGGCTGTCTTCTCAGTGCCCTTGCTCAGCTCTTCCTAGTAGTGACTGTCATGCCAGCTGCTCTCCTCTGAGTGGGCACATGACTTCTAATTCTGCAGAAGATGACCAGGACAAATTGAAGAAGCATTTGAAAAAACTATGAGCAACCATCAGTGCCAGCAAAGACCAGTGCCGAGGGCTTCCCTGGCACCAGATCCTCTTTGCTATACTGCTGTCACTTCAGCAATGAGGAATGTGCACAGGTTTGGAGAACTCCCCCAGACTGGCAGAGCACTAGCCACCAGTCTGCACAGCATGAGGTATTTTGGGCCATCTCACACTGCCCCCAGGCATGCATAGATTCAAACCCTGGGGACATGCCACCCAATTTTCAGAATGTGTTTGATGGGTACATTTCCCTTGAGCTGCTTGTTTCTTTCTGTAATGCTTGTTCTTTGCCAGGATCAAGATTTTCCAAGGTCCCTGTGTCTTTCTGGAAAAGCATAAAACTCTGCTCTTTTTCTTTTTCTTTTGTTGTTGTTGTTGTTGTTGTTGTTGTTGTTGTTGTTGAGACTCTAGCGGCTCAGGCAGGCACATTGGGATCTTTGTAAATTCTTTGTGTTCTCATACATCTGCTGTGGGAGACTCTAACAAGGTGACACTGGATTGTTATTTTTTTCAGTAGTTCCTGTGCTTCATCCTTTGTACCCTGAGATTCTTCCTAATCTTTCTTCTCTCAGCCAGATCCTGGCTCATCTCTCTGCCAGCACACAGCAGCAAAGTGCCTTTTTTTGTTCTGCAGCTGAGATTGTCTCAGTCATTCTGGGCTGATCTTTACTCGGCAGCTCTATGAGAGCTTCATATTTTCACTTTTGGAACATGAAATTAACTGAATCCCTGGTGACTCTGGATGTTTGCTGTAGGGAAAATGCGGTTAAGCTTGAGACCTTAGTTTAGAAACATCCCAGCTGCCCTGATTGAGAGATACAGTGGTGAAAAATAAGGTTATATAATTAGTATTTCCTTTATATTAGGGAAGGTATGATAGAACTTCTACTGTTCTTTGCTGCTATTCTATTCCACTTCACCAGGCACACAACTCATTTCAGTCCTTCTGCCCTTTGTAGAACAGATTTGTCAGGGTAACAATCATCACTATTTCTTGTATAAGAGTGAAGAAGTTATTGAGGGTCTAGCCTTACATGAGGTCATTTCTACCAAGAATAGTCAAGGGAATGGCCTGCATAGTCTGTCAAATGTCTAAAACATGAAGCTATCCTACCCTGGTTTGATTCAAGACAAAAACATGCCCTTCCTTCCTAAAAAAACCTGAATCCATTCTCAGACTATTTGCATGCAAGTTCCCAAAGAAATAATTATTTTTGCGGTTTTAAATCTGCCTAGGCATTTTCATGCCAGTGTGCATGTCTGCTCAACAGTTTTCTTGATTAATAACTTCTGGCTATGGTCCAGGAACTGTGTGAGGACTTAGAGTAACAATATTAATCCGATGGAAGTGATATTGTCAAAGTTAATTTGGAAGCCAGGACTTTTGGTAAACACTTCTGTATTCCTTGCATTGTATTTGCAAGGAGGAAGTTGATAAGTGACTGACTTTTACAACACTCTTTGTTTGCAGCTCTTCCTGGGTTGGTCCAAATAGCAACCTGATTCAGCTTCTCGTCAGACCTGAACACTACAAGCCATTTGTGTAACCAAAAAAATCAGTGTGCTTCTTGTCCAGGAGACCAGAAGCATGTGGGCCCTTACTAATGCACAGCCCCACCCTTGCAAGACATTACTGAAGGAAAATTCATATTGTGGTAGCACTTACTGGCAACAACCAGGCTGGGTATTGTCCTGGCTCTGAGAAATTATAACTGCTGTCTTATAAACTCTAAGATCAAAACAATGCACAGCAGATAGTTTAGATAAACAAGTCAATTTCTGCATATATGTTGGAGGGAAGATGAGTTCCTAGTTGGTTAGCAGCCGTAACTGTACCTGAAAATCTAAAACATCAGTACTAGAGGAACTGAAATAATAGGAGGAGGCACCTCCATGCAAATTAGTCTGAAAAGCTTCGCTGTAGAGGGAAATTGAGGCAGGTTATAAGGAGGAGGTTAGGAAAATTTTAGGAGCAGCCATGATTACCATGGACCCAGAACATGACATGGGACATGTAGCAGGGAAGCAGTGTCTGCATTGTGGCTGGCTGGGTCCCATTTTATACCTTGGCTGCTTTAGTAGGGGGGCTTCTGCTCTGCATGGGCTTGGCTGCCTCAACCCCGTGCGATCGTGGGCTGCACAAAAGTAGTGTACAAAGCTGGACCTGAGCTCTGGTGCCGCTCTGTCCACGAGGAACTTCCGTCTTGCCCCACAGCCCTGAAGGTCCTGCTCTCTCTGTCCTGTCTGGCTGTGGATGTACCTGGAAGGACTGACCATGACTAAGAACCAGCAAGGTTTTTTAATTTCAGTTCACCTTGGAAAATGTAAAGCAGCTGCACTATAGAGAGAGGTCTGTCTCGGCTGTGGCACAGCTGAACTGCCAGGCTGGCAGGGGGTGATGGGGAGCACCCCATGGTACCTGGGCCTTAAGAAGGCAGATCCCTTGGGTGGCCAGTGCCGTGAGCACCCCTCTGTATTCGAGGCACAGTCAGGCACTGCTGGGGGAAGGAAGGAGAGTGCACAAGACAGGAGCAGTTGGCAGAGCATGCTTTAATGTACTTTTTGAAACAGAGGTTTAGTGTGAGAAACAAGGAGCCAGCTTTGAGCAGAACTTTGAGTTCAATTAGCACATTCTATTGTACCTCTTCTCATACAAGACCTATGGAATGAGTGGGGTAGGAAAGAAGGGTAGCAGGAGACAGTCTTTAGAAAGGAGTTAGGCTAAGAAAAAGGCTGGTAGGCAGTTAAGCCTGCCTACACTTGTAGGCCTTTCTAGCAAAACTGTTTATGATGCTCTGTCTGTGGAGGAGATATTGTTCTGCTTGGATTTATTACAGTGCCAAATTACTTCCTTTGGTATGTGAGTTTTTGCCTATGGTGACAAAAAATGTTTCCTGAAATTTCAAAAAGAATACAATCAAAACAAACTGAAACCTGTATTTTATGTTTACGGCATTTTGGCATTAAAATAATTGTACATGGTGATCAGAGCAGGTGTTTAAAAGTAACAGCGTGGAACTGTTGAATTCTCCACAAAAAGTGATTTTTTTACAACTTTTCTTCATAAAAATTGCCCAGATCATGTCTGCAGGGCTTGTGTACATGAAATGCACATTTGTGTGTACAGACTTATTTCAATGCACTCAATTAGCTCTTAAACTTTGATAAAAATGCAGACAAGCTTTTCAGTATCTTCTAGGACAGCATTAGACAACACTTACTGACAACATTAGACTAACACTGACAAGCTGTGTTTTTGTTACAGAAAACCTCCAGCCCTGCAGAACTTATGTCCTTTCCAAAGACGCCTTGTGCAGTGGTTGTCACTGTGTCACTGGTATTGTGACAGCTTTCTAAAACCCTGTGCCTGCAGAGAAATTCACAGGAGCCTGATGCACCACATCCTGCCTTCTTTGTGATCCTGTGATGCTGAACTTCCTCTGTCTCTGCAGATCCTTCGCAACCATGGTGAAGTCTAGAAGAGTGCACCTGCTCCTGATCCTGGTAGTTCTGTCCTTCCTCCTCATCCACTTCCTGCCCTGCAACAACAATGCCCCCTTGGAAGAAAAACCTTCTCCAGTCCACATCCTCATTCTCTCCTCCTGGCGATCAGGATCTTCCTTCACTGGACAAATCTTCAGCCAGCACCCCAGCGTTTTCTACCTGATGGAGCCCGCATGGCATGTCTGGGTTAGGATGTACCAGAACAGTGCCAAAGTCTTACACATGGCAGTGCGGGACTTAGTCCGGTCGGTCTTTCTGTGTGACATGTCTGTGTTTGATGCTTACATGTCTAGCCAGAAGAAAAAGTCCGATTTATTTCAATGGGAGACAAGCCGAGCCTTGTGCTCCCCACCTGCCTGTGACTTGTTCAATCGCACTGACATAATCACTGCAGGCAATTGCAAAAAGATCTGTAGCAAGTACCCATTCAGCAAGGTGGAGGAAGCTTGTAGAACCTACAGCCATATTGCCGTCAAGGAGGTCCGGTTCTTTGACCTGAAAGTCCTTTACCCACTTCTCACTGATCCATCCCTGAACCTCAAAATTATTCACTTGGTCCGTGATCCCCGGGCTGTGTTCAGGTCCCGCGAGAAAACAGTGTCCGACCTGAAACGTGACAGTAACATTATTATGGGGTCTCGTAGGGCAAAGGGTGAAACGGTGCCCTACAACATAATGCAAGTAATTTGCAAAAGTCATGTTAAGATTTATAAGGCAGGAACTCAGGCCACTCCCAGCTTCCTGAAAGACCGATACTTGCTGGTTCGCTACGAAGACATTGTCAGAGACCCGCTGGCAAGGGCTGCGCAGATGTACAGGTTTGCAGAACTCCATTTCACACCAGAACTTCAGAAGTGGGTGCACAACATCACTCATGGGAAGGGTCTCGGAGCACAGGCCTTTGAAATTGGGTCCAGAGATGCACAGAGAGTATCCCAGGCCTGGAGGGAGACACTTCCCTTCCAGAAAATTGAAAAAGTGCAAAATGTGTGCAAGGATGCGATGGACTTGCTGGGCTACCGGCTCGTCCAGTCTGAAGAAGAGCAAAAAAATATGTCACTGGATCTTTTGTTCGCCCAGAACTCCTCTGAGTACCAAAGCCTGAAGGCAGAAAAGCTGGAGTCTGTACCTACTCTCTGAAGCCTGCAGAGTGCAGAACTGTTCACTAGAACAAAAGAGGACAGAGGTGCAGGCATAGAAGTGTAAGGGCGTGTGCATGGATGCAAGGACAACTAACATAGGAATCCTGACTGCGTTCACAAGAGCTCTCAGAAGCACAGGGTCACTCTCTAAGGCCCCTGGAGATTCAGCCACAATGAAGGCTGAAGTAACGCAAGTTTGTTCTCCAAATTATGTTTAGATTGGAGCATATGAAATAGCAAAGCAGTGGGACCAGATAGCAGAACCCAACCCCGCCACAGACCACAGTTAAGTACTGGGGAAAACACATGGAGCAATTGCACTGCAAAGGAAGAGGAAATATAAAAGGAAGCTGGATAGAGAGAACATTATTTGCCGTGCTGCCACATGGGATATGTAATGCCAGAAGAGATGCAAGGATGATCAATATTTGGTTTCTGGAAAGATGCTTTTTTTTTTGAACAGTTGAGTTTTCAAGCCTAGTTTTCCTTTTGCTCCATTCCTTTGCCTGGGTATCCAGCCTTGCTGGCAATGGCGGGGAAATGTTTGTGTTCACTTACTATATAATGGGGAAATGGAATAAACCCACTATTTTTGAAAATAAAAACTCCTAGATTTGCATGTGGGGATCCATTTTGAGATTATATGAATCCATTTATTTTTTTAGCTGAAATAATTCTGTCTTCTAGCTTTCAAACCTGAGAATAGCTGGGAGTTCTCACAGTCCACATGTGTGACTGGAATTCATGCTAAGGCTGAGATCCTAACCACAAGGTAAGGACATGGATTCCATTGCTATTAATACTGGAACTGGGAAGATAGGTTTATGGGAGTGGACTGAAGCAGCCCACGGCACAGTTGGAGATGCCATTCTCCTACCTCCAATGGGAATATGTAGCTCAAATCAGAGCAACAGAATTATTTTTACCTGGCTTTATCAGTGTTCTAGAAGACAAGAAGAAAAACTTGTTACCAGACTTGGGGAGGAGTGAAATGCCTACAAATACCTCTTCCTAAACATCTATTCCACATGTAAATTGGGGAGTCCCTTTAACACACATCTACAGATCACTTGCTACCTTAGCAATGTGGGTATCTATATTCCTACAGCTAAACCTCTAATCCCTGCAAAGGGTGGGATGTTTTATTATGGAAATAATAGAGTTATTATGGGGGATCTTGTTTTTGAATGACAAAATCCATGCTGAGCAGGCAGCACTGGCATCATGGTACTAAGTCCACTGAAAGCAAGGCATTTTCCTTTACAGTGTTTATGCCAACGGGGCAGGCAGGCTGACATAGAGAAGTGGTACTTGTACTGTGCCAGAGAAGCACAGAGACAGCCTTTCTTCAAAGTCCCTTTAAAACAGACCTTAACATATCCAGCTAATAGCATGGGGTCTCAGAAGCCTCTTCTTATTGAAGTTATAGTAAACAGCTTCCTACTTTAAGTGCCAAGAAGCCTGATTTTGAACAAAAATAGTCTTTTCAATACATTGCTAATTATATCTCTACGTTAACCAACGTGCTTGAGTGGCTTAAGTTTTATTATAAATACTTATCTTCAGTGGACTCAACCAATGCTAAGTATCAAATGTTTACCTGAACAAAAACCTTTCATAGTGTTTCCACTCAGTCAGTAAATAAATGACATAAAAGTAATATATAATGCATTTTCTTAGCATACTGCTTTGAAAATTACGTTCACTTCTGCTTCCTAGAATGGGAAGCTTTTTGGTGCAAGAGGTGACAAATGTCCTGTTCACGAACCTCGTCATCATCAGTACCCGTATTTTAAATCCAGCTGGTAAAGTTTCTAACTAAAAAAAACCTTACTATTTTATTTGCTGTGATGTCTTGCGCTCCCTTGTTAAGTGCTTGTCTGGCCTTCCACACAAACCAAATAACCAGTCTGAACAGCATGAATGTGCCAAATAATTCGAGGTTTTGCAGCAGGAATGACCTGTCCAGTGAAACACTGCATAGTGCAGTTTTAGCATTTATTTGGTTACGTTGGTTAACCCCCCGGTATTTCAGGTGTTTCTCTGGTTTTCTGAAATAGCAGTCTCGTTATATCAAACTGTTACTTACTTTCAAGATCATCTGAATTTGGCTTAAAATCAGCAATTTCCCAGTCCACCTTGAGTGCCACAGTGCAATACGCAAAAAAACCAAAACATAAATCTTTAGAAAAAAAAAAATTTCCTTTTACCAGCCCATTTAATTTCATCAAAAGGATGAACTCCAGATTTATAGGATTCACTTCAAATAATATTAAGTGACCAAAGCACAACGTGCTAAAAGTACCGAGTTTTCCAGATTGTGACTCTATACTAGCAATGGTGTTCTCTCTTAAACACAACTTAGGTGATACCTTAACTCTGGGCACTCTTAGTTAACTTGTCTCTCCTACTCCTACTGTTGCACATGGCCCTGGAAGCTGGTGTACTTTTTCCAACTAGAATATATGGTCTGGTACATGTGTTACTTCACCTGGATTAAGGAAGCTGCAACACTTCGATCTGTAGAGATAAAAATGGGCCTTTTATTAAAAAAAAATTTAAAATTCTGAAACTTCATAATGTTGATCAAATTTTCCATCACATTTCTGAAATGACTGTAAAATTCCTGCCACAGTCCTAGATCAGTCGTCCTCCTCTTGCTAACTCTTCCTAAATGCTATCCGCTTTGCTACATTTTCAGCTCCAAATTTTGCTATCAATTTATTTCTGACATGTTCGTCATCCTTTTGCAATTCTAAATCATCCTCTCTGCTCCACACAGGGTACCCATCCAAGCGCTGCCCCATCTGCAGAAAGTCTGAAGTAGCCTCCACTTCACCACTGTTTTTCAGAAAGGCCTGAGTAACAGTGAACAGGTCCACACTGAACTTCTCCATGAAGTGCTGCATAGTTTTTACTACTTCTCCCACCACACTGGAAGAACAAGTGCTTGTTGGTCTTTCTTCCATTTGTAACTGAGTGTCAGGGAAAGCAAAGTCCTCCAGTCCAGTTTTCAAATCAAATGCTGTTTCTCCTGGGGAACTTCCTCCTCCATCTTGTGTAGAAAGTTCTTCTGAAACGTCCGAAGTGTCACTTTCTGACTGAGAGTAAGAGGAGTCACCGATTAGACATGGTATTTTCTGGCCAGCTTTTTTTACTACTGCTACCAACTACCTTCCACTGTGACTCTACAGTATATAAAAACCTCAGCAATTACTAGGCATAGTAAAACTCAATGACTGAAGTTAAGCTGTGTTAATGAAGATAGACTTGATCATAGAAAGGCATGAAATATTAGGGAGACTTTGAACAAACTGAGCATAAAAAGCAAAAGTGTTGATGCAGCTGCAGGAACATTTTATGCCTGAGGTGAAAGGATGATTTCTATTTGCCAATGCAGGTTTTAATGTGACAATCCCATCACATAAACCTCCTCATGTTAACTTGGGCAGGGAACAAAGTTAAGAAAAGCTGCAGCAGCGAGGCCCCATCCATCTCAAGCTATGTAGCTGACAGCTCACAAGCAGCTCCCGTTTAGCCACAGAAGGGATGTCACGGTGCAAAGGCATTTCACTTGTTAATGATGCTGCCGCCTGTGACACCGGGGAGGGTCGGCCCCGAGCCGCTCACGGCACCGCTGCTGCCTGGGCCGGCCCCACTCACCTCCGCGCAATCGAACTCCCGGTTACTGGCCGCGAAGAGACCCGTGACCTGCGAGGCCTCCTCCGCCTGCGGGAGCTCTGCGGAAACACGCGGGCACCGTCAGCGGGGCCCGGGCCCGGCCCCGCCACCGCCACCCGCGCCCTGCCCGCCGTGTGCCCCCCGCTCACCCCCGAGCAGCGGCCGCAGGTGCCGCAGGAAGCGGTCGCGCATGGCCTGCCAGCTGTGCCGGGTCAGCCCGCTCCGCTCCAGCTCCATCCACAGCGCCCGCCCGCCCGCCCGCGCCGCGCCCCCGGCGCGCACCGCCCGCAGCAGCGCCGCGTCCTCGGCCTCCGTGAAGGACAGGCGGCCGCGCGGGGTGGCGGCGGCCGCGGCGGGGGGCGGCGAGGCGGGCAGCACGAAGGGCTCCATCGGCAGCCGCTCGTTGCGCTCCACGCACTCCGTCACGTACTCGGTGGAGACGGCCCCGCGGGGAGCCGCCTCGCCGGGCTCCGCCAGCAGCACGGCCCCGGGCTCCTGCACGCGGCACAGCCGCCCGCCGCCCGCCAGCACCAGCGGCGCCAGCCGCAGCTTGGACACCCCGGGCCGCACATAGAACCGCATCGGGCGCCCGTCGTCCCACAGGAACAGCGAACGGGACCGCGCCGCCCCCGCCGCGCCGTCCGCCATCGCCGCCCCGCGCCCGCCCGCCATCACTGCCTCGGGCCCGCCCATCGCCAACACTCCCCCCGCCCGCCCATCGCCATCACCGCCCCCAGCCCGCTCATCGCCAACACTCCCCCCGCCCGCCCATCGCCATCACCGCCCCCAGCCCGCCCCCCATCCCCGCCCATCGCCGGCCCATCGCCATCACCCCGCGCGCAGGGAGGGGCGGGCGGAAGGGCGGCGCTGGCAGCGGGAGATGGCGGCAGCGGCGGCAGCGGCGGAGCGCGCGTGCGAGGCGGCGGAGACCGAGTCGCACCTCAGCAAAAAGTGAGGGTGGGCGGGCAGGCGGGGCCGGGCCGGGCCGGGAGGTGAAGTTGAAGGTGAAAGTGAGGCGAGGCGAGGCGAGGCAAGGCAAGGCAAGGCGAGTGTCCCGCTGACCCGGTGCGTGTCTCCGCCAAGGCACCCGGCGGAGCCCCATGCTGAGCCCCGGCGCCGCGCGGCTCCGCGGCTGGGCCTGGAGGGCCGCGCCCGCGCTCCGATGGCGGCAGGCGCTTCATGACCAAAGCAGGTCGGTGCTTTGCGTCTGGCTCGGACCAGTTCTGTCCTCACGGAGTCCCGGACGACGGGGTCGGGAGCGCGGCAGGAGCTTGAGGGCCCTGGGGAAACGGGCCGGACCGCGAAGGCGGCTTCGGGAATCCTACGTTCCCCTGACCTTTTGCAGTGGGAACTTTGCCTTGTTTCACTTTCACGCAGCGTGGGGCTGTCAGGCTCATAGTAGTAAAATGAGAATGGAATGCTCCTGGGCACTTGGGCGTTGTCTCCCCTGTTTCATTTCGCTTTCACTTTCCCTAAGTATTTGTGTTGTAGGAGATGAACTAAAAGAGTTCAAAGAATAAAATGCTTAAACGTGCTTAAGCATTATCGTGACTTTTGGGCAGATTAAAAGAAGTGATGGGGTTATTTGGCAGCATTCTACTAAAATCTTACTGTACAGTTTTTTCCCTGTAGAAGTATCAGGGTACCTGCTACATCTGGTTTCTCTTTTGCAGTGAGCTGAAGAGACGTTTAAAGGCTGAGAGAAAAATAGCTGAAAAAGAGGCAAAGCAGAAAGAGCAAAGTGAAAAGGATTTAAAAAAGCCTTCCTTGACTTCTGAGAATAATGCTGGAGCTGATGAGGAAAGCTTGGATCCAAATGTGAGCATCTGGCCTCATGCTTATTGCTGTTCTGTGAATAAATCTTATTGACTTAAATTTTATGTTTTTATTAATGAATAATGAAATGGCCTTTTCTGTATAAGGGCAGCTGCATTTTAATTTACAGCCTGTGATATATTTTCAGATTCTAATAAAATCGTTTGGTTTTGTTTGTTTCTGGTGGCAGCAATACTTCAAGATTCGTAGCCATGCAATCCAGCAGCTGAAGGGCACCAACGAAGATCCCTATCCCCACAAGTTCCGTGTAGACTTATCTCTCTCAGATTTTATAGACAAGTACAGTCACCTGCAGCCAGGAGATCACCTGACAGGCATTACAGTGAGAGTGGCAGGTAAAGGCCTCTGTGAGATACAGAAATATATCTTAGCTACTTTTATTGATGGGTTGGTCTCTTTGAATTTTGCTGATCCTCTGATACTCGATCATGAAATCTGTAGCAGTGTTAAATGATTTGGGACATGTCCCTTCAGACTGAGTGGACCTGTGCAGCATCCCTTACAACCAGAAGATCAGATTGTTATGTGGGCTCCAGGACCCAAAGTGCATATGGTATTAACTTTGAGACTTAACTGCTTCTCTTTCACAGTCAGCAACCGTTTTGCTCCACCTGGGCTTCTGGGATCATGCCTGAAGCTCTCGTGGCATGAGATTGGACTCAGTGGCAGTAATCCTGCTCGGTGCTGAGTGCAGAGATGATGATTATTCTTTGTCCAAGTGATAATTCTGTGGCTTATGTCCCTGTTTCCTGTCTGCTGGGGACTCTTTTCCTGATGTTCTGCGTACTTTGATATTTAGGTCGAATCCATGCAAAGCGTGCCTCTGGAGGGAAACTGATTTTCTATGATCTTCGTGGTGAAGGAGTCAAGTTGCAGGTCATGGCAAATTCCAGGTAAGGAGAGATATTCCCAGTAGCATCCTGAACAGCACTGTATTTTGGGGCCTAGAGATTTGTATCTGAGTGTTCTGTTTCATCTATGGGTTGGCTTAGGCAGCCAGATAATGTTATTCTTAGGATGTTTTGGTTCTCTTCCCTGTTGAGTAATTTTATTTGGTTTTAAGGATTTGGTCTTGGGAGAGACTTGAGGACAGTTTGGAAGGTTGAATTTTAAACAAGCCTGCTTACATTTGTTTTGTAATTACAGCTTCTACAAATCCGAGGAAGAGTATTTCCGTGTTAACAACAAGCTACGTCGTGGGGACATTGTTGGTGTAGAGGGGAATCCTGGGAAAACAAAGAAAGGGGAACTGAGTATTATTCCTTATGAAATCACTCTGTTGTCTCCATGCCTGCACATGTTGCCTCATCTTCACTTTGGCCTCAAAGATAAGGTACTTGTCATACCTGCCAGTCTTGGAGGCAATTTGACAGATCATAGAAGGGTTAGGGTTGGAAGGGACCTTAAAGATCGTTTAGTTCCAACACCCCTGCCATGGGCAGGAATGCCACAGATAGGTCTGAATGGGTGACCTTTGGTACCTGTTGATGTTGTCAGTCAACAAAGGAACATTAGTTTTGGTTTGATATTTTTTTTCCTTTTGCATCACGTTTTGTCTAGCTTGTTCTAAGGATATATGTTCTTTTCAGGAAACTAGGTATCGTCAGAGATACTTGGATTTAATTCTTAATGGTTATGTGAGGCAGAAATTTATAACTCGTGCAAAGATCATCACTTACCTTCGGAGCTTTCTAGATGAGTTGGGCTTCCTTGAGGTAAGGCTTGAGTGTTTATTTCTCTCCCGATACTGAAAGTGTTCAGAGCTTCTCAGCTCCAAGGGTGCTTTTCTGTTCAGGCTCATATGCAAAGTACTTCCGGAAGTGACAAGAATTAGCATAGCATGATGTGTTTTATCAGTTTAATGTAATGGGAGCCATTCCTTTCCTCTCTTTAAAATTAAGACTATTCATCAGTTGGTGAGGTTATGACTTGGGAAACTTCTATCAAGGTAGTACTCCAAACTACTGCTATTTTTTCCTTATTCCAGTACTTTGAGTGGAAACAACATCTCTGAAATGGTGTTTTGCAGCTGGAGATAAAAGCAGAGTTTACTTCCTGTGGGTAAAACTAGATTGCCCTGACCCGTGTGCAAGAGCTTGCACTTGGCCTTGTTGAACTTCCTTTTCTTCAGTGTAGAGAGAGGATTTTGTGATAATGTCATGGCGCTGTTCCTGGCTTTGGTAACAGCAGGTTCATTTTGGTAGTAAATGTGAATGACTCTTGATAGCAACAGATCAATTATGTAATTTGTTTTTACTGACTGCATGAAAGAAGTGCACTTCAAAATTGTTTTCGTATATTTTTCATATATTTAATATAGTGAAATGTCAATAAGTGAAATACAAAGATTTTTTCATCAAAACTAGGTGTGGTTTGTTTGCTTGATGTGTGCAGTTCTGTTTTGGAAACAGAGTTTATGAAAACAGGACAATTTTTGTTGTTATTTTACAGATTGAAACTCCTATGATGAATATAATTCCAGGTGGAGCTGTGGCAAGACCATTTATCACATACCACAATGAATTGGAAATGAATTTGTATATGAGAATTGCTCCAGAGCTTTACCATAAGGTAGAATGCAAGCCTCTTATGGCTAAGCCTGTATTCTTCAAACTGTTTTAAAAAGTAAATGTAACTCAAATGAGAGTTATTCTTGAAGAAAAGACTCTTGGATTTGTCTTGAGTTATATTTGTAAGGTTGTGCTGCAGTTGTGTGTGTTCGAGCTCTCTTTAAGGTCTTTTTCAAAAGTCACTGTATTTACTACAATTCCATTTTGTTTAGATGTTGGTGGTTGGAGGTCTGGACAGAGTATATGAAATCGGGCGGCAGTTCCGGAATGAAGGAATCGATTTGACTCACAATCCTGAGTTCACGACTTGTGAATTCTACATGGCTTATGCAGACTACCATGACTTGATGGACATTACAGAGAAGTTGCTTTCAGGTGATGTATGCAGTATCAATAGCAAAAGAGGAAGAATCTCTGGAAGAATTGCTTATTATGTGGCATACTCTTCTTCTAAACTCCACGTTCCTTTTGTAGGGATGGTGAAACATATTACTGGGAGTTACAAGATCACTTATCATCCAGATGGTCCAGATGGACAGGCCTACGAGATAGATTTTACACCTCCCTTCCGGCGAATCAGCATGGTCTATGATCTGGAAAAGGCCCTGGGAGTGAAATTTCCACCAACTGAGCATTTTGAAACTGAAGGTTAGATGCCGAGTATGAATGTCATACAATTCTTCCTTAACAGAAAGTGGGCAAAAGGTAGCAAGTTCTCAGCCTGCAGTTTGTCAGCTGCATTTTTGAGGTGGTACTAATGCATGGAATTACTTCTCTGTGGTTTTGTCACTTTACCTGAGTCCAGAAAGAAGCCTTAATACTTTGCAGTCTTTGGCAGGATCTGACTGTTTTTGGCTCTTCCTTTGAGTGTATGTGAAAGGATGTACTCAAGAAGTGTGATTTGGGTATTTCCTGATCTGTTGAAGGGATCCAACTTTTTGCTTATTTCTTCTGTCTTTGGTGCAGTTGAGTTTCTGTGCCTGCAGTCATAGCTTAGGTGTACGATTATTATGGACTTTCTTCAAAATATACATATGTGCTATTTTATTCCTGGAATCAAGAGACATAAAAAACCAAATTCATACACTTCTTGGTGATTTTTTTTTTCTTCCAATAATAATGTCCAGCAGTCATGTGGTGGTATCAAATTTCTAAAGTATAAGATAAGTTATATTTTACTGTAAATTTTTAAAGCCAGGTACTATTTTTGTAGATTGACATTTAAGCTCATGGTTTTCCATGATATGTACCATTAAGGTCTTCTAAATCACTGTTAAGACATGTTGAAGGATATAGTAAGAACAAAAATTGGTTGCTAGGGTGGCTTTTCTAATTTTTTGTTTACGATTTCAGAAACTCGCAAGTTCTTTGATAATCTTTGTGCAGAGAGAGACATTGAATGTCCACCTCCCAGGACAACAGCCAGGCTTCTTGACAAAGTAAGTAAGGGTGCTATTTTTATAATCCTAATGTCTTTGAGGATTTATCTGTATCAACAGAAGCCTCTTCAGAGAAGTTTAGCTGCACCTGGGAAAACGTGCTGAAGGGCATTTCAGCTATTGCCGTATTAGAGCAAGAAAACTGGCTGTGTCAAAATCTTCTTTTGTGTTGTCTACACTAAGATGTAGTTTACTTATGTCTGCTTAATTTGAGTGCTAGGGAATTTTAGTTTGATAGCTGGTCTCTTGTGATTAAAGCAGATCTGCTTTATCTTATGTCAGTTTTGTCTGCGAGATGTATCTGTATGTACCTTATCAAACAGGTAGACTTACCATGTAGTTCTGTCAGCTGTATTCCTTTGTACCCAGACACTGTCCAGCTGTTCTTCTGATGCTTTTCCTATTGGCCTTTGCTGTAACATGCAGAATGAATTATTATATAGTTTTTGTTAGGTCATTTTTCTTATCTGACTCGGACACACACTCTCAGTTAATGAAGCCATTACCGTGATCAGAAATTATTACTCGGGAAACTTCAGATTTAAGGTACCACCTTCAGTAGCAAAGGGAAGAAATCAGGATGCTTTGTGAAGGCAGTGTTAGGAAAGTGATGTTGTTTTTGTACTCTGTGCAATTTTTTTTTTTTGTACTCTGTGTAATTGTTTCACTTTTATTTTCCCAGTTAGTTGGTGAATTCCTGGAAGTCACATGTATCAACCCTACATTCATCTGTGATCACCCACAGGTCATGAGTCCTCTTGCCAAATGGTAAGAGTATGAGTCACAGTCAGCATGTAATTCTTTTAAATCCTCTACCCCTATTTTATAAAAAAGGAAAAAAAAAAAAGTCACATATGTCAAAACAGAGATTTTGATGTTGTGTGCTAATTTGTGAATTCTGACACAAATCAAGATTGGTTCCTGAGCTGTGAAACCAACCCATCATCCAGGGAAGAAGTGTGTCGATGCTTAGTAGCTTGAAGTTTTGACAGCTGATAGTGCCAAGTGTGCAGTCCCCCATAGTAATGTATGTGTTCTTTGCTTCAGTAAATATGTTAATTTTAAGGTTTGGCTGTTTTGTCTCCCTCACACAGGCATCGCTCCCATGCAGGACTGACCGAACGCTTCGAACTCTTTGTGATGAAGAAGGAAGTGTGCAATGCGTACACAGAGCTCAACGATCCCGTCCGACAGCGGGAACTCTTTGAGGATCAGGCCAAGGTATGATGTCTTGCTGACAGTAAATCAATGATACAGACATGTAAGCAAAGAGTATTTCCTGTGTCTCCTCCAAATCGGTCATTAGTACCTATTGCTGAAAAGAGTTACTACTTTGAGGCATGTTGGCTCAGTCAAGTGAAAGCCTGTCATTAAAATTTAATTCTTCTTAAAGGAACCTTGCTCTCTAAGGTAAGGAATCTTTCTCTGTAAGGTGAACAAGTCCAAACACTGTTGTTTAGATTTTTTTAGTGCAAGTTCATTTTGGACCATCTTCCCTTTTATTCTACCTAAAGTACTAATCTGGAAAAACGCAAATGAGCAAAGTGTTTTCTGTATCTTGCCTAGGTTGAAAGTTATTTTTCCCCAACTAAGTATTTATGTAGTCATATGTCAAGTAAAAAAATGCAAAGATTTCTTGTCCCCACCTGTATTAATATATTTTTTATCAGCTATCAATGTCCCCAGAATATCAAAGCCTTTTAAAGCCCAAAACAGTCTGTCTGTGCCTCACCTAAAGAGACCCTTTGCTAGACAGAGTCACTGCAATTTGATACTCTGATATGGGGATGGCACTTAATAGTAATGGAGAATCTTCTCAGCAGTGTTGTGCTACAAGGTACAAGGCTGCCAGCACCAGAAACAAACCAGGTTAACTCTAACAACTCACAGAATAACTTCTATTAATACAAGTATGTGACAAAATACTGTAGGGTTCACATCACTGGTGATAACGTTGAACTGCTCGATGGCACTTAACTAATAAAAAACCCAAAAAACAGAAGCATGCTTTACAAAACAATACAGCTATCTAAGCCTTAATATGAAACTCAAGCAACCCCCCTCCACGACAGCCCAATTTACAGAGACTAGAATAAAATCTAAATACACTTGTTAATACAAAGTGAAAAAAAAAAGAAAAGAATATAGCCGCTTCCCACTAACATACATTTTAACTCACTAATATAAGGAAGTGCACACCTTAAAGCAAGATATAAGATATAAGGCAAGATCAAGGTAAAGAAAGCAGAGTAAATGTTTGCTCACCCCTACAGTGTCCGAAGGAAGACAGGGCAGCTCGTTAGTTACCCCTGCAGAGATGATGGGACTTTTCCCTGATTTTGCTCGTGTCTGATCTCTTTTTATACTTTTTTTTCCTTAGGCAGTTTGAGTGACTATAGTCAATAATAATTTTTGGGGTGATAGACAGATGACATAGGCCTAAGGATCCGCTCCCTGTGTTCCCGTAGGATGCTGCGAAGAAAGACCATACTATTAACATAACACTCCATCCTTTGGTAATCCTATCAGTCTGTTGCTGGGAAGTCTCCCCATTTTGTTGAGAACTTTCGGGAAGCCATGGGGGATCTCCGTCCCTCTTTGTGACAGTGGGTTCCTGGGAATGCCCCCTCCAGGTGCTGAGGTGTTTCCTGTAACCATAACTGATCAGGACGGTCATCCTGACTTTAAATTGGTCTGTCACCCTACAGTCATACAACATTATACTTTAAGTTCTTAAATAAATTTTCATGTCCAGTAAGACTTTGAATGCTGTGTAAGAAATAGCCTAATGTCTTGAACTGAGTTATTAATATTTTAAGTCAACTCACAGAGCAGAGCTGCAGATTAGAAATTATTACCTTGCAAATTTATGATACTAGGTTTCTCTAAATAATAGGCCTCTTAAAGGAGTGACCGAAACTCATTTTGTAATTAATTAGGTATACACAGCCATGAATGCATGCTTGTCCCCAAATGATTGAGGTCAGATGATGTGTTTTGCAGAAACAAAGCTGTCCTTTATACTCTCTAATCGCTTCATAGTGCCTGAGAGGATTAAACAATTGTCAAAGTCAGTAAAATAGACTTGTGTTAACTAACTTACTTGATAGTAAATTTCAATAATCTGCTGCTGTACAGCTTTGAAGATGGCTTTTACTGAAGTGAAAAGCCTGGGCTTTTGCCAAGAAAGGAAAATGACAGGTCAGAAAGGAACTGAGCCTGGAGCTATTTTGGTAGCACTTGTGCAAGTGACCCCCACAGTTGTTATTTGCTTCCACAGCTGTACAGGGCTTAGGTTTCATCAGCTACATGGCTGCTACAAGTACTAGTATTCCTCTTTTATGGTAGCTATCTAGCTCTGTACAATCCACCTTTTACTAATAATTTCCTCATTTAGGCAAAAGCTGCAGGTGATGATGAAGCCATGTTTATTGATGAAAACTTCTGCACCGCCCTGGAGTACGGCCTTCCTCCTACAGCCGGCTGGGGCATGGGAATTGATCGCTTGACCATGTTCCTTACAGACTCCAATAACATCAAGGTAAGCGTTGGCAGTGGCAGTGCCTACTGCAGGCACTTCAGGGAGCAGGGAATGGGATTCTGCAAAGCTGGCAATCTCCTCGAGAGTGCAACTGTGGGAGGGGCCTGGAGACCAGTGACAGGCAGTGCAGGCGTGGGAGGGGCCTGGAGATGCACATCCATCTAGGAAAAGCTTCGTTGTGCCTGCTCGGCTCTGGGGAGGCTGAGCCGGGCCAGGGCCACTCCCACAACACCTGCTCGCCGTACTGATGCTGTCACCATCCACAGGAGGTGCTGCTCTTCCCTGCCATGAAGCCAGAGGACAACAAGAAGGAGGCACAGCCTGAGCCCCCCGCCGAAGGCACCTCTGTGTGAGGCTCCAGACCGCCGTGGGCACCTCTGTGTGAGCACGGGGTGGCGCAGACGTAAATAAAGGCAATGCTCTTTGCACCCTGAAAAAGGTTGTTAATGCCGTTACCTGCTTGTGCTTAATTTACCTGAGAAACTTGCCTGAGATTAATGTTGTTGAAAGTTTTCCTTGTCTGAGAATCCTATAACCTTTAAGATAAGACACATAGTTTGAAGATGAAAAGTATGTATGTTTAGTTTTGTATCGCTTAAAAGGAGTAACCAATGAGAAACCAGTCTCCAAACCTGTGAGATACCCAACTAAGAATGAAGAACAGAAGAACCAGTTTCATGAGCTGGAAATGAGACAGCTGAAAGGGAACTGTTAAAATACTATCTGCTAAATCTTTTATATTCCAAATTAGGTTTGAATTTATTAGTTTAAGTTTTTTATAGATTTTAATTTTTTCTACTAACACTTTAATAGGAAACAGTTAATAAAGAGTTAACGTACAATTATTTTAGGCTAAAGGTCTGTGTACGAGAACCTTTGATTTTGCTTAACTTGCTGAGAATTTTCTAATTTTTAGATAACAGGAACTGGGAAAGGAGCATAACTTTTGCAAACAGATGGCATATATCTTTGAACGGGCAGGTAACAATCAACATCCAGTGTTCAAGGCTGTGAAAAAAGTCATTCGAAGTGAAAAGATACAAGCAGTACAACGGAATTACTTATGGACTAAAAAGATGTGTTTTTAAGAGACTGTAATTGTAATAAAAGGACACTAGATGGGAGCAGAGACCGTGAAATAATTACAGCGATAAATACAGAGTGGGCGCGGACTAGGCGGGATTTAACACGAATGTGTAATGGCTTGTGGAAAGATAAGGGTTTGCTTTGGTGGTGTTGTTGGAGCACTTAAGGACGAGTTCGGTGCTGTCAATAAAGGACTCCTGTTCAACACTCACAGTCCCGCTGTTGGGGCAAATCTTCGCTCCCACCCCTCTGCCTGTGCCTCGGGGCGCGTGCGCGGGAGCCTGTCCCGGGCCCCAGCTGCGCGTGCGCGGCCGTGTCCCCGCCCGTGTCCCCGCCCGTGTCACCCAGCGCGGGTGGCGTTGGGGGTCTCGGGGGGGGTGTGTTGCGCTCACGGGGTGTTCGCGGGCAGTGGGGGAATCTGCCCCCGTGCGCACCCCGCACCGGACCGGGAGCCATGTGGTCAGCCGATGAAATCGCTGGGCTGTGCTACTTGCACTATAGGACGAGACTCCCCAAGCAGGGGAAGCCAGATCCAAAGAGGGAATGGACTTCACTGGCAGCTGTTGTCAAAGTGGAGTCTGCAGCCCAGACTGAGGCTCTCGGTAGTCCAGGGAACCTCCAGGGTAAGAATGAGTTGGGATAGGGGTGGGAGGTGGGGAATGGGGAGAGGAGGTCCTTGATGCGCTTCCCCCCCCCACCCCCCCCGCCCCCAAGATGACTTTTAAGAAAAGTATACACCCCTTCCTGTCCCATTTCTATCTCCACCCAAATTCTTTACTCTTTGTGATTGTAAAAGCTTTTACAACTTCTGTCTGGAAAAAGGTTGTTATAGTGAAACGCTGTTCTTCCCAGACTAACTAAGAAGGTGAAAGCCTGCATTTGGCTGTTCAATATGTGTTGAAGGTCTAAGCAGAACCTGAATTCCTAATATAAACACCTGCAAAAATGTTAGGCTGCTATCTGAAAGAATTCTAGAAACGTCTCAGTTTGCTCTCCTTTAACAGACTGTCCTACTGCATTTTGCACCTGTGTTTATCCTCCTTTCTCTTACTGGCACTTCAGTGTTGTCAGGCAGATTGTATCTTGTGTTCATTTCTTGTGTGTTTGGGGAATGCTCTGCCAGTGTCCACTTGTGCTGCCTGGCACATCAAACCTGTAATGGAGTTCCTGCCTTGCCATCATAGACTTTTCTTCACACTGGTGCCTCTGCCTCCTGTATTCAGTTCTGAATCTGTTTCCTTTCTGTAAGGTTGTGTGGCCTGTCTCCCTGTCCATTCCCTTCTACATGATGTTCTGTGTGTTGTCTTACCAGAATGACTGTGTGAGAGCATCACTTCTGGCAATAGTTGGTGAGAGTTTGTTCGGTTAATATTTCTTTTTCAGTAACTAAAGAAGTTGTTGCTATGGGAACTGGAACAAAATGTATTGGCCAGAACAAAATGAGAAAAAATGGTAAGTATGGCGTGAAATTCAAGAACAGACTATCTATGTTACCTTCTCTCTTGCTGGTGTCGTAGAATCAATAAAAATGTACAAGGCATTCTGCTCAGACTTATTCTGGAATGAAGCCAGACCTCACCTTATCAAAGAGAGAGGAGCTTAGACAGCCAGAATGGCTGCCCTGAAAAGTTGCTGCACTTGCTGACTTAAAGGTGAATGAACATTTTATATGTACAAATGTGTAGCTTAGGCCTGGAGTCTGCATGCTCAAAGACATCATAGCTAAAAGCAAAGCAAAACACAAGCAAAATAACTGTGCTTTGGTTACCTGACAGTCTAGTTTTGCTGTGGTCTGATGCAAAAGATGCCACTACTGAGTTTGGATAGGGGTGACACCGGGAAGACACTAACAGGCTTTTTCTCCCTTACTGCATATTCTGCAACTGGGTAGTTTGAAGTGTTTGTACCAAAAGTGTATGGGTTAGGTACATGACTGCTCACAACTACCATTTCTCACTATTGCAGGGCTTTCCTTGCTCTGCCCGTCCATTTTTTATCCTTCATTTGTGTAGGCTCCTTTTTGTGGGGATTGGAAGTTTAAATATGTTGCAATAACGTAATACCAATGTTAAACCTTCAAATGCTAACAGATCTGGAGAACTGTCCTGTGTGAAATTCTGTTTGCTTTGTTTCTCTGCTTTTCAGTCATGATTAGTTTTCTCACTTGGTTGTTGCTTTAGGAGACATTTTGAATGACAGTCATGCTGAAGTTGTGGCCAAGAGGAGCTTCCAGAGGTGAGGCGTGAAGTTCATGTGCTGTTACTCAATGCCACTTGAAGTGCTTGAGATAAAAATGGGTTTGATCTATTGCTGAAATAGCCATATTTTGCAGCTTCAGATAGGAGAATGTAATGAAACACTGCATTACTTCTCTGCAGGCAACACTGTTTCCCATTGTTAGCAGGATTTTAGCCTAATTTCAACACTTCTAGGTGATGTTAAGGTCCTTTTACAAAAGCTTGTTTCTTCTGTGTTCTTGTAGAACCTCTTTTGAAGAATTAGGATCTGATTTCATGTGACATCAATGCAGGTCTGATAGCTGTTGGTCAAGGGTAGAAGTTTTGCTGTTTCCCACATACCAGTCCTCTTGTTTACATGGGATAAGCTGGTTCAAGGAACTGAGCCAGGAGAATAGTAATTCTGCAGAAATTACTACATTTCTTGCAATTTGATGCCACCAAACTGAGTCTTACAGAATCAGATGAGTTCCAGTGCTGGTAAAAACGCACACAATAGGAGGAGAGTACCTTATATACACAATTTGAGGAGATACTTAACTCCACTGAATCCAACTCCTTGAGGTCTGTTATTGAAATTCCAATTATGTATTTTCATTTATGGAGTATGTTGGATCCCATCTATCTGTAGAAGAATAACTGATTGGCTTCTCATAGACTCCATCAGGAAAGAACAGGCACTAGAGGGCATCTAAGTTTTGTTGTTTTCCCATGCATCAAAAATGAAGTAAATGTTTCATGAAAACTTTCTGCCTAACAGGTACCTTCTCCATCAGATGTGGCTGGCAGCTTCCCATCAGCAGTGCAGTATCTTTAGTCCGGGAACTGAAACTGGAAAATGGAAACTCAAACCAAATATCATATTTGTTTTCTTCTCCAGTCATACCCCATGTGAGTAGGCTGGAGTGAACCAATTACCTTGCTCCCACTTTTAGAATCTTGTCTGCCCCTTGTGTTTCTTTGGTCTCTCTTTGGTCTGGAGTGAGGCAGTAAATTCATGTTACCAGTATGTACCTGAAGATGTACTTGACTGGTCCTCTACAGATAGATTTGGCATTTTATCTCACCGAATGTGATTCATGAGAGCTCAGTAAATCTGATGTACTGCTCATTATAGGGTAGAATGTTTCACTTTAAGCAGTAATAGCTAGGATTTTCTTTTCCGGAAACTAACATACTTGTCATATCGCGTGGTTGCTTTGCTTTAAACATTCTCCTTGGATTAAAATTCTAATAAAAAATGCTGACATTTACCACAGTTACTAAAAACAATGGAACAAACAATACCCCCCTCAGCCCAGTGAAACAAAAAACCAAACAAAACCAAACACAAAAAATCTGAAACCAACAAGCAAACCAAAACCAAACAAAAAAACCACCCCCAAAACAACCCACTCCCCCCAACTAAAACCAAACTCCTGAAGAACAACAAGAAAAGCCCCACCAACAAAACAGCTCCAGCTCCCTAACCCAGAACTTCTTACGGAATGCAATGAAACTTCTGTCATGGAAAATGCTCTTTTTGTCACCAGGCCTGTCAGACTTGCCTTGCTTGCTTTGAGCTGAGCTTCAGAATTCTGGTTTTGAGCTTCTTTCAGTGATACAGATTAAAGTTTTCACCCTTATTTGACAAATTATTCTTTAATTACTCTTTTGAGGTACATGTTGTTTAGTTAGATCAGACTGGTTTTCCTGTGAGTCTTCAGCACTTGTTGTAGTCTGTCAAATGCCTTTGTTACCTTTTCCTTTACAGATTTTGTTCTAAATGTTGCTTGTTTCTTTTGTAGAATGCAAAACTTGAAATTGAGCATATGTTGGCTCAAATTTAAGTGAAATCTGATTTATCGCTGCGCAGGACAATGTTGATTTAAAGCTGCGTTCTTGTAGGTAAATTTTCCTGAGCGCAACTCTGTGAAAGCAACAGGAGTTATGATATTACTGGTATGATGTGTTCCAGTCATGAAATGTGGTTTTGGCTAATTTTGTGTTATTTCTTTGGTTCTAGGTGGAGATGCTTCTATTATTCCAATCACTGAATCAGAGAACCAGCTTTCTAAGCCAATGACTGCAGGTGATGCAGCTGGACAATCAGCAGAGTGCAGAAGTAAGCATGATCATTTGTGTCTGGAAGATAAAAGGAAAGCAGAGAACGTGGCAAGTAATGGTGCAATCAAGAGAATGAAGACTGGAGAGGATGGTTGTTTTTCCACAGTCACTGAAGACCTGCCTGTTCAGCAAGAATCCGTAAAACGAGAAGACGATACAAATCAAAAATGCTGTGAATGTTCTGCAGAGGTGCAAACAGCTAATAAGGAGACTGGCTCAGTGAGACCAAAGGTAGTAGATGTTCATAGAACTGGAGCCAAATGTGTGCCTGGAGAGCTGGATGATGCCCGAACACCTGGGCTGGGCTACCACTGTGTGGGATTATTACGAGTGAAGCCAGGTCGTGGAGACAGAACATGCTCTATGTCCTGCAGTGATAAACTGGCTCGCTGGAATGTGTTAGGGTGTCAAGGAGCTCTTCTCATGCATTTCCTGCAGCATCCGGTGTATCTGTCAGCAATTATAGTGGGGAAGTGTCCATATAGCCAAGAAGCCATGCAGAGAGCAATCATCGAAAGGTAAGTGCTCTCCTTTGGAAATCAGATGGCGTGTGTGGATACAGTGAATTTGGAAAGACAACATGTGTCACACAAATATCAGAACTTCAGGAAGCTTTTGACACTGCATTTTGTAAGGTCCTCATAGAGAACCTGTTAAACTACGAGCTGGATGGGCAGACATGTGGATTGAAATCTGAGTGGCTGAGCCCAGAGTCATTCAGACTCAGAGCCAGGGAGTACTAATCACTGGGCAAAGTGTAGTTGAAGGTGTAAGAAGCCATGTATGCCCCAGGGTCAATACTAGGTCCAGTCCTGTTTAATATCTTTGTTAATCATCTGGATGATGGTGCAAAGCATATGCCCAGCAAATTTGCTAAAGACTCAAAATGGAGAGGAGTGGCTGATATGCCAGGACATTGTGTTGCCATCCAGAGGGACCTCAACAGGTTGGAGAAAGGTAGGAACATCATGAAGTTCAGCAAGGGAAAGTGCAGCGTCCTGTGTCTATACATGCTTGGGGCTGCCCAGATGGAAAGAAGCTGCACACAAAAGTATTAGGGGGTCCAGCTAGACCTGAAGTTGAAACCCTTTTTTACTGTGAGTGTGATGGAGCACTGGCAGATGTTGCCCAGAGAGGTTGTGGTGTCTCCCATCTTGGAGTCACTCAAAAATTATCTGGATGCTCCTGAGCAGCTGGCTGTAGGTGGCTTTGCTGGAGATGGGGTGGTTGGACCAGATGACTTACAAGAGGTCTCTTCCAACCTCAGGTGTTCTCTGATTTACTGAAATGTTCAGGACTAGCATGTGAGAGCTTGCACTGGTCCACTGGAAGAACACAGGGTTGTGTTACACTGGAAAGGCAAAGCTTATGTGCATTTCCGTGGTGGTAAAAATTTGCTGCTTTAATCTGAATTACATCCAAGATTCGATCTCTGTCCCTGCTGTGAGGAGTAGAGCTCTCCTAACACAACCTGTCACCTCAGGGAAATTTTCGTGGGAGGTGAAGTGCAATGCTGCTAAATGAGGAAAGTCACCTGTTGTGCCCTGGCTCACTTTCTCCTCAGATCCTTGAACTGATGAAAACTATCTCAGCAATGAAAGGATAGGAAGTGGATGTTTTTCTTACTTGGGAGGCTAAATGAGTGCAACAAAGCAATCTGCAAGTAGTAGAGAAGAGTAAATGGATCTGGACAGAGTAGAGAGAAAGGAGAGCAAGAAAGAAACCAGGAAGCTGAACCATTTTCTTGAAGAGGCAGTTACTAGACCAGTTCATATGAAAGGTTTAACTTCATTTAGTAACTCCTTTTCTCCATAGCCCTGCGTCCTTCAAGGATGATTTTGAGAGAGGTCATAATCTGTTAATGGGGAAACTCTTAACTACCTATCCAGTGGAGCTCTCTGTATAATCCTTTCCTTGCTCTGTAACTCATGTGACAAGAATTTGCCTAGCCTCATTATTCTTCAGTTGCTGCATCTGGCAAGACATGAGTCTTAATTTGTTCCTGCTCTATGTAAATATTATGGTGATTAAACACATATCCTTTTTTTGTCATATGCTAATCTCATTCAGTATGCAACGGTGATTTAAGATAACAAAGATGAGATTACACATGGAACTGCAAGTATATTTTGTATCTGTTTAGGCTTTGATTATGAACCTTTAGGCTCATTAAAAAAATTGCTAATGTGGTTGACTATGTAAGTACTTTATTATTATTATTTTTTTTTTTCTTTGGGATTTCAGAAGTATATTGCAGTTTTTATCCTGCATACTAGCCTTTAACTAGACCTTTTGAAAAATCAATTCATTTTAGTTTTTCTAGGATGGTCAAGGTCATAATAAACTAATCTGGCTTGGTTTTGTTTTTTTTTTTTTTCAACAAATACCTTTTGAAGGGAAAAATGTCTCCAAACCTCGTTGTCTCTCCTTTGTAACTCATGTTGAATTCAGTTTTAATGAAAAAAGGAACATATTTGAGATGAAGGAAACTTACACAAAATGGGCTTGTTTGGGAAGAACAGACTGAAAATCATTTGCATTTTTCTGCGTTTTCTTTAGGTGTAAGCACATCTCATCTTTACCAGATGGTTTTCTGGCTCAGGAAGTTAAGCTGCTGCAGTCGGATCTTCAATTTGAACACAGTCGTGAGGCAGTTCAGGAGGGTCAAACTAACAGCAAAACGAAACTTGTTCCTTGTGGTGCAGGTGAGTTCACTTGGGCCAGTTGTGTGAGTGCAAAAGTCCAAATAGAAATGAGGGGCTTTGGATTGTTTGGAACAGAATGTCATTCAGTGCCAGTGCCAGAGGCAAAGTATGAACAGCAGGAAATTAATTTCAGGTCATAACTTAATTGCTAATAATTAATATTGTTCAGCTCAGCCTCTAGTTTCCTGTAGGGAGTTTTCAGACTGAATAAACGCTTGGTTGATGACAGTAAGAATTTATAATTTAAGCACAGACAGAAAATAACCAGGGAAAACAAAAGTTCCGAGGGCAAGAAGAAAACAAAAATATCAAAAGACTTCTTGTTTCAGTTAGTTTTGCATTCTCCTTGGTAATGAAAAGAAGACTTGCCATGCTGAGTTATGCTTGTAATTGCTCCAGAAATCTGAACGAAGAAAGAATACAGAGTAGTATAGTGCAAAGGTTTAATTGATAGAGATTTTGGACCTGGCATTTTTTGTCATGGTGATGAATGAATATGCAAGTCTCGTTGTGATTTAGCAACATGGTCTCATTTGGGGGAAACAAAATGGAGCTGCCCCTCTGTATATGGTTAAGCAGTTTCTTTAAACTTGGACATGCCTGCCTTCTGCTGTCTGAAGCAGAGCTGGAAGTTTTTCTATTACAATAGAGCTGATGATAAAATAGAATGGAAACAAAGGGTTCCTTAATGGAATTCAGATTAATTAAATTGTAGTTATTTATAAGTCCCAGGAAGGAAACTGTTTTGATTTTCTGAGATAGGAAACAAAATTCATTATTGAAAAATAGTGCCAATTCAGTTATCAAAAAAGATCTGAAACAAACTGTGACTAAATTCAGTGTATGTCTGTCCCTCTGTACACTTTTCAGGTCATTCTGTTAAATGAAGATGAATGATGCTTTATCACAGGGTTTTTTTGCACATATGAATTGTGCAGGGTTCATTCTTTTCTTGAAGGAGTGAAAATCAGAATAAACTCTAAATTCTGGGCTGTTACCCTGAGCATTGAAATATGCTCAATAGGAACATTTCAGCTGGTATTTTTAAAAAAGGAAAACATGTTCTAATATTTTGAAATTTGAGATAATTATGAAGAAGTGAAAGAATAGAAAGTGTTCTCATTTTTAAGTGACTTTGTATCTGCTTGTCATGATCTCATGTCCTCTGACCAGCTGAGTTTTAGATACTCTACATGCGGAGGGTTTAATACCAATTGTATGTAAGTAATGTTATTTCCTGCTACACAAGATTGTAATTTAGTAGAGTGATACAGAATTGTACTTCTATCACAGTGCAGGTACAATTGACACTTAGTGGAGTCCGACAATTGCAGCTGAATCATAACCAGCCTTTGAGAGTCTTGGATGGCAAGATGGTCTTCAGAGTTAATGAACATGCAGCTGTTTTGCCTGTTAGGAACACAGAGAAATGGGAGAATTTAGGGAACAGAAGTTGTCTTATGGCACCTGCTGTGCAGAGGCAGATGGGACATGCCAGGTTCTGCCAACACTGCTGATGCTTTGGTGGTTACTTATAAATTGTAACGTGTCCTATGCACAGTTTCAGCATAATGAAGTTTATAGTCTAAGGTGATTACAGAGTTTCCAGAATTGGGGTAAAGGATAAGGTTCAAGTAAAGTCCACAGATGTTTGATGTACATCAGTTATCAAACATAGAACTACTTACACAGTAAAATAATAGCAAACAATATATTAATAAGGAAAACACAGAATGACTGGTGCAAGTAGCTTAGGGGAGTATTCACTGCCTGATGTGAAAATAAGCCATCTGACTTGGAAATTTCTTCATGCTTTGTCCAGACAGGATGTGCAAAAGAAAGTGGAATCCCCCTAAGAAAGGGAGAATAACAAAGCTGGAGGCCAGATATTTTGAGGCACACATTCTTAAAGGATCTAATTCACATGAAAGCTCTCTGTGTGTGTGTGTGTGTGTGTATTTTAATTTTTTTTAAAAATTAAAACAGAGTTTACCCATTCTTTTAGGTCCTGAAATTCTGGCCCTAGAGAACCATGGTCCCCTTTCTAGTCTGAGTTATTTTGGGAAGCAGCACGTGAACACATAGGAACCGCTAGGTTCTGCTTTTGTGATAAGAGCATCTCCCTTGTTCTTCATCCTTTCTTCTGCAGCTATCAGTTGGAGTGCAGTCCCTGAGGAACCTCTGGATGTCACATCAAATGGCTTCCGCCAGGGAACAACAAAGAAGGGGATTGGGAGCCATCAGAGCAGGTGTGAGAATGTTGTAATACCCAGACACACGTTTTATTTGTTAGCGTACATGTCTCTGTCAGCTCGTGTGATGTGTTGTCAGAGGAGAGGGAAGTCTAGGGAATGGGGTAAAGGAGGGAAGGTCGGGAGCAGGGGAAACGGGAGAGTCACTGTCTAAGGGAGAGAGGGGAGTTGCAATAAAAAAGTTAAACGAGAGTTATCAAGTTTATCCTGACTCCTGGTCATTGTTGAGAGCGTTGTAGGTAATGGCAGGTGACTAGGATAAATTTTTATGAAAAGGATATTTACTGGGGAAGTTAGAATTTTTGCTTTGTGTTTTTTTGGGGTTGATGACTACGAAGGGAATGTGTACATTGCAGGTTCACTTTTTACAGATTTCTCTAAGAGCCAAGCCAGCTGAACTGGGTGTATGATTGTTAGAAGTGTTACTTTGAAATATGACTTTCTACCTTAAAGTTTGAAAATGTATCGAAATACTTGCAGCACATTCCTAACATGAAACATGTAACCTTTCTAACTGTGGTCTTGGCACTGTGCTCTTTGAAACGTCTCGTAATCTTCTATCAACAATTAATGCTTTAAAAAAACAGTTATGTATTTTTATTGTGGTTGAGAACAATTACTTGTAACATCTGAAGACAAATTTCTCCATCTCTGTGTTATCTTCAGTTTAGGTGAGGTGACCAAAATTATCAGTGGGCTGTGGAAATTCAGCTTGAGAGTTAGGGCTTGTGTATTAATTGTTGGCTACTTCTATCACCAGTTTATCAGTGGTCATATTGTTCATTTTTTCCAGACTTTCTGGGAGAATGACAATAATCCTGAGTAGTGAATAATGTAATAAGGGGAACCTAGACAATTCTCATGGAGAATTTGTTCACGTGCCTGCAAGTTGCACATTCTGAGCTTCTTGAGGTTAGGCCTGACTTGACTAAAGTTCATACTGGTATATCCTAATATTTTCAAATTTTCTTTATAAAGAAGAGGAATTTTGTGGTTTGTGACCAGTCTTGGTGTCTGGGGTGTTGCTAACATGGGTGACCTGGGGGACTTAGTGTGTCTTTTGAGACAGCCTTTGTGTGCACTGTAGAATAGTGGTTTTCAACATGTGGTGTGTAGTGTATTCCAAAAGACGTGTGAAAGGTCAAACAAACCAACCAACCCCTTTTTCTCAGTAGGCTTAAATTTGTTACATAGCATTTGTGTATTGCTCTAAAACTTGAGAGCCATCTGCTAGCTGCCAGTTAGCACAGAAGTGTAAGAACTTAATTAGTGTTGAGAGATCCTCCTCTCAATATGTGCTCAAAATTCACTAAAACATTCAGAAGTTATTAGAGTCTACAAGACTGTGATTACAAACATCTCGTTTCCTTAGGAAATACGGATTAAAAACAATGTCAAGGAACAAGTAAACTATTTACACTTCGATGATAAACAGTCACAAAAGGAACTTTTATAATGAAAATAAGAAATTTACAGCCTTATAGGGGGTGGTGGTGGTTAATAATAAACATGATAAGTATTTCTACAGGTTTTTTTCTCTCAAGGAATCTCACAGTGATTGCCAGGGAGTGAGGTTTTTTTTCCCCTTCGATATGCTAGATAACACTAAATATCAAGGAAGGTAAAGCTGACTGACCAAAAGGAATTTGTAGGTAAATGTCTGGTATGTGCTTTTGTAAATGCTTAATTAACTACACCACCAAAGACTACAATATGAACCTTTGACAGATTAAGTTGAAGATTAAATTGTAGAGTGTCTTTGCATGTCCTGGTCACCAGCAGGGTTCAATAGGGCTCCATTTTAGGGTCAGTGCTTTTCAACATCTTCATAAGTGACTCGGACACAGGACTCGAAGGTACACTGAGTTTGCCAGTGACACTAAACTGGGAGGAGCTGTCGACTCCCTGGAAGGACGAGAGGCCCTGCAGAGACCTCAGCAAATTAGAGGGCTGGGCAATTACCAACCATTATGAAGTTTGAAAAAGAAAACTCCTGGTTTCTGCACCTGGGATGGGGCAACCCTGGATGTACACACAGACTGGGGAACGAGAGGCTGGAGAGCAGTGCTGTAGAAAGGGACCTGGGGGTCCTGGTCAATGGCAAGTTGGATGTGAGTCAGCAGTGCCCTGGCAGCCAGGAGGGCCAGCCATGTCCTGGGGGGCATCACGCAAAGCATCGCGGGCCAGGTGAGGGAGGGAATTGTCCCGCTCTGCTCTGCACTGGGGCAGCCTCACCTTGAGTATTGTGGCAGTTTTGAGCACCAGAAAATAAGAATATAAAGATAATAATGTCCAGAGAAGGGGCCATCAAGATAATGAAGGGTCTGGAGGAGAAGCCTTACAAGGAGCAGCTGAGATGACTTAATTTGTTCAACCTGGAGAAGAGGAGACTGAGGGGAGAATTCATCGCAGTTACAACTTCCTCACGAGGGGACGTGGAGGAGCAAACACTGATCTCTGCTCTTCACGGGGAAGTAAACTTCTGATGTCTTTTTTCTATCAGGATTTCTAATTTTTTTTTTTTTTTTATATATCAGATCCAAGATCTGTAAAGTGGAACTCTTCCATAAATTCCAAAAGCTGGTGACAAGTATTTCACAAGAGGATCTACCAGACACTCTCCGGTAAAGACATTATTATTGCATTTAGAAGAGTGAGCTTATCTTAATGAAACCAAAGAACACTGTGATGATACTAGAATCTGCTCATGAATCTTCCTTTATTGTTTATTGTTAAAATTTGATACTTGAAAAATGTGAAAAGAGACACAAGATGAGGCAGTAGTATCTTTTTTGTGAAAACATGGCTGTTAGATCAGCTGCCTGCCCTTGGTGGTGTGCAAACCCCGCATCCAGAAATTGTGGGGTTATTGGTATCTAGTTGGTGTTTAGTAATTCTGTCAAATGCCATTTCTTTGTTTCACAAGAAGGAAGAGTTTCAGTAAAATCACTTTTTTTTTAAGTCTAGGCTAAAATCTTTGCTCTGTATGGTGGAATAAGAGCTAATAAGGTGAGATAGTGTGTAGGGCTCTTTGTGCAATGCATATGTTACATTGGGGGAGACTTTCTGGAAGGGACAGAAGGAAGCTTTTGTGCAATGAGTCCATACTTGGAATTTTCCTTTACATTATTAGAAACAACTTTGGTTTATCAAACTGGAGTCAATTACTTGCAGTAATCATCCAGTCTGCTTTAGTATTATGTGCATTATGTATTTGTTGGTATTCCAGCCCAAATAGCTGCCATAAAGTAAGGCATATTTTCACATCCACAGAAACTTCTCTCTTTGGCTTAGAGATTCTGAGAGAGGTAGAAGGTTCCAATTTCATTACCATGGAAGGTTTATTTTATTTTAGACTTATTTCCAGGTATGATTTCACCAGCTCTAGGATGCAGGTACACCAACTCTTGAGCTAATTTAACTGCTTGTAGCTGCTGATAGGGATGGTCCCACAGCAGTCTCTGCTGCTACTGGCTGTTTTTCCTGCTTTCTCCCTTGTATCAATAGCACTTCTTCAATCCCATAGTGAGTCAGTTCAACTAGCTAATGTGGATGAAAACAATTTTCTTGGTTTCTGTGTTTTCTCTTAGACTTATGAGCTGAATCGGCTCATGGAAAGTTAAAAGAGGAAGTAGGAGGTGTGTGGCTGTAAGCAGGGGAGACAGGCCCTTTCAGCCTTTCACGGTACCAGCACAGTAGATGCAGTGAAATTAGCCAAAGTGCACCCCAGATCATTAATTGATAGATCTTGCTTGCTTTTGAGTTTTGTTAAATTAAAGATCCTGTAGAAGTGTCTCATAACTATTTCACAGTTCTGATGTCAGCATGAGATGCTTTCAACTCATTCTAATGTAGAGATACACTTTTGGGTAGGAGTTTGTCCTCACTTGTTTAGCCATCTTAATTTCCTCAAAACAGATTGTGAACTGGTGCATTGTTGGGTAGGTGACTCATTGTTCTGATCATGTGCTGCTTACATAAAGTCACTTCACCTCAGGGCTTTTCTAGACTCAAGTGGCTTTGCCATTTCCTTTGACTTTTTTGTCCTCTACTGTTTTTCTGTCTGAACTTCTCCTAACAAAGTCCAGCTGATTCACAGATGTGGCACTGTTTTTAGACTGCACAAACTCTACTTATACAGTAGAGGTGCCAGCTCACCAGTCAGCTTGTGCAGCTGATTCATTTTTGAACTGGTTCTGTTCCATTGGGGAAAACTCATTCTGTAATAATTTCAAATTTGCTGAATAGCTTGTTTTGTAGTTGCAGGGTATATTAGGACAAGGATCATTCTTCGCTTAACCCTTCCTTCCAACTTAACTGTTGTCCATTGTTAGGCCTAGGAACCAGGGAAGTTAAAGCTTTATAATGATTCTGATGTTTTGTTTTCTTCTTTTGTGTATCTAAAGCTGCTTCTCCTGCTTGTTTTGTCTTCCTTTCTCTTTCGTTCTTTGCTTCTGTCCAGAGGATCAGTGTGGGCACTGTTAAATTGGAACAGATTGAGAGCCTCCTGTGGCCAGAACTTTTCTGGCTCTCCTAGAAGGCAAGCTTAGCTAAGATGTTCAGCATCATTCAGCAATTGGTTTTTTTTCAGTATTTAAGTTATTTGCTTTCAGCTGAGACTAAGGAGGTGGTGTTTGGCTGGCATGCGCTACTTCTTCACCAAGAACCAGATAATGCTGTGTTATGTTGTCCCACTCTTCCTTCCTTTCCATTAATTTCTATGATCTGCCTTCTGTGCCTTACTTCAATTCTCACTCATCTCTCTATCTAAACTAACTAAAATGTTGTTCCTTTATTACCTCTTACCTCCACCTGCCAAGCTTCAGTTCTTTTCAGTTGACTCCCTCTCATGTTAGAGCTTTGAAATAACTGGTGCATCAATCCATCTTTTTTTTTTTTTTTCCCTTTTCATGTTTTCTGTGTTCAGTGTCCAAGGAATGATAACACACAGGTGGACAGTGTTGCGTCATTGCTAATCTGAAATGTTGTGTGAAATCCTCTGCAGTATTGTTTGCAGTTTCCTTGGTAGTAATATGGCAAAGGAGTTTTTTTGCATAATTGGGTTTCCCCCCCCTCCACTTAGGAAAAAAAACATGCCCTATTCATCATCTGAGGAAGTGAAAGCCTTCTTTTGTCATACAGTGACACCCACCATACAGTCATCGGGCATTGCTGTTTGAATAAGGTGTGTCTGGCTATGTGACCCTTTGAATCTAAGGGAGACTTTGTAAAATAAACCTACCCTTTCTTGCTGGGCTTGTTAAATGGATGACTAATCCTCTTTTCTCTTAAATTGTAGTCAGGAGCCATCACAATTAAGATTTTACTATTATTCCTCCTTCAGTCTGCAGTATGGATCATTCCAGTTCCAGTGACACAATTGGTGGGGGTGGGCTGTTGTACAGAGGAGTGCAAGGACTTTGAGATGGCTCCGAAGGCTGAAGTGTAAAATTTTCACTTGGGCTTCATATTTAAGAGTTTTTGCCAGAAACAAAAGGTGACTGCTAAATATTTGCTGCTGGAGTGACTGAGGGTGATTGTAAGGAAGTGTTGGCCTAATGGAAGTGACTGTCACTGGGGGCACTGATGGTGCAGTTTCACTGCTGTTCTCCAATTAAAACCAATCACAATACAACACAAACTCATTTGGAATTTTGTTGCAATTTTCTAGTCCCTTTTCAATTTTCTCTTTCAAGTTTGTACATTAAATAATTCCTGCAGTGGTCCTACCACTGCATAGAGGCCTTTGGGACAGTTAGGCCCTCTGATCTAAGAAAGTCTTTTATATATTTCACATTACAGATGTTTGTTAGGTCTTTACCAGATTGAAGAGCCTGTTATTAAGAGGCATTTTCTTGTTTCCCGTGATTAGCCATCATAATTATCTCACAATTTGATTTTTTTTTTCTATTACACTATGTGATTCAGTTTTCCACATCTCAGATGACATCGGAAAGCTAATTTTCCAATTTTTCAGTAACATTTTGAAAATCTGGTCTCCTGAGATAGAACCCAGCAATGCAGTAACAATCTTCCAGATGTTGCAGAACCTCGTATTACTGTTCAAACTTGCTCTGTTTGAGTGGAACTCACTTATTGAGGTGGCTCACTCTGGGACTTTGATCTGTATCTTCTTCACAGCTGGTATCAGTTACAAAGTGTGCCTGCAATAACTGCCTTTTGTCTGCAGCATTGAAGAAGATACTAATATAAGCAGCTAAAGTCTGGTTTCCTTGGCCCCTTATATTATGGATTCACAACAGATTTTTATACACTGAAGATTTGTGAGCTTTTGCCCTCTTAGGTGTGATTCATTAATTTTTGTATGAGTAATATTTTGGTCGATTCCTTGTGCTTATGTGCGTATTTTTCACGTGCAGTGTCTCTGCAATCTTGAAAGTACGTTATGGGTTAAACATAAATGTTTGAAACTGAGTATGGAGTTAAAGGTAGGATTTGTTACCTGAGAAGGAGGCATTGCTGCACTGTATTGCTTTTCTTTGCAGGCTGCCTGTTTTATGAGCCCATTCCTGCTCAGCCTTGCGTGTAGCTGTGTGTGTGAATGTTTTCAAGTGTAACGGTGATTTGCATAAGGCTTTTTTGTGTTACCTTTCAGAAGGAAGTCTGTAGACCATTTCTCATGTCTGTGGCACACAGCCAGCAGAATCCCTGTCTCTCTCTTGCACAGTAATGTAGGGGCAAGATTGAAATAGTAAAGGGAAACATGCAAGAAATGTATGTCAGACAGACTTGGATGGGGTAGAGATGCTGTGACTGTTGAACTTTGCCTGGGGCAGCAAACTAGTGTTTGTTTCTGCCAAAAAAAGGTCACAGGTTCTTCGTTACTAATGCTCAGAGCCTTAACTACATCTGAGATACAGTCAAGTCACCTAAGTTTTCTATGCAGATACAATGTACTTAGAATTTGAAAGCATTTTTCCTGTATCTATGTTGAAAATTTCTTAGGAGCTTAATGCAGAAATTGAGCATGAATTAACTAAATCTTTTGATTTTGTCTGCTCTTTGTGGAAGCTGTTTAAAATACTTTTAAAATTTCTGTTGCATGCTCTTTTAAATCACTGTACTGATGTTGTCTGTCTGGAGATTGAGACTCCATGAGGCTGTGGTCACATGTGCTCCAGCAGTTGCTACAGTGTGGTGAAAATCCTCCTCCTGTCTATCCTGCTTTTGTTCTAGCTATCTTTTTACTGTCTGCTGTAAGAGTTTCCAAACGAAGGTCTGTTGGAATAATGTAGGTTAGAAAAATCCCATATGTGTTTTGGTTAAATTGGGTCAGACTGATAGATACGAGTCAGAGCTGCTGATTTGACAGCAGATTCAGGAAAAAAGAGCACCATTTAGCAAGGAAGAAATGAAAAATAGATGAAATGTAGGTGAGGGTGCAGGTGGTTTGTACTGCATTTGAGGCACATGTTACAGTACCAGGAAGAGAAACAGCTTGCCTATGCCAGGGTTTTGGAGCCAGTTCTGGAGGGTTGACTTTGATCCCTCTTGGACTGGGTTGTTTCCTGAATACTGCTTATGCAGATAATTGCTGGCCTTTTGCCCGTTCAACGATGCTCCTAAAGTATGATCCACTACAGATTATGGGGTTCTGTGACTGTTCCACTGCCCAGGTGGGGGAGAGTTGCAGGAGGCCCTTCCATGGAACTTTGCAGAGGAGCTCAGAGTTAGTTTCACAGACTATGATTAATGTAGGAGAGGTAGAGAAAGCAGAATAAATTAGCTGTGATGAGAGTACAGGGCAGGTTTTTTAAGGGGAAGACATCTCCCGTGTTCAGCAGTGGCATAGACAGGTTCACCACTCTCAAACATTCAGAACATAAAGTCTGCAGGATAGATAACATGGCATGCTATGCCTGTCACAGTGTTCTAGAGATAAATTTATAGCAGAATGCTCAATGCCTGAAACACAGCTTCTCATGGTCTGCAGTTATAGGGAGGGGTATTTTTGGGCGGTGATGGGTGATCATTATTGCCTTGGAGCATTAAAGCCTGTTCTAGAAGTTAGTGCAGTGGTTCTCAGACTTTTTAGGTTAGGGTTCCCGTAGTAGTTTGCCCCTTCCTGTTTCTTGGTGAAGGTCACATTGCCTGTCATCTTTCCTTCGTATTGGGTTTAATGTGTAAAAACATTGCACACCACATGTGGCTGACAGACTTTTTGGCAAAGGGAGATAAAAGAAGCTGAGAAAGGAATGCAAGGAAAGGAAAAATCTCTTGATGAAACTGTCTTAGAGACACTTGTTGTCAGATGCTCTAGACCTGAATTTCCCTGTTTTGAAAATCAATGGCATAGTGTACTCAGCAGAGTGACCAATAGTTCTGCTGAGACGGTGGGGAGTAGGTGCTGCTTGAGGAAGGGGAACAGAGCACCAAACCCACCGAGTCTCTTTTGCTTTAGGGAAAGAAAAAAAAATATTTTCTTCTTTGTTTCACTCTTACCCCTTAATTTTGTGTTGGAAAAGAACTGTCCTGTTTGTTCTGTCCCTTTCCCTTCCAGCCAGCAAGCACATCTATTCTTCTAGCAAGCTAAGGCTGCTTCTACCCAATTCAGAGCACCTCTAGCCACCTTTTCAGCTTTTTCTTCAGCATTTTTTGCTATCATAGAAATTTTCTGTAGCCTGTGGTCACACAGTCAAACACTTCTATTGCTGGAGAGTGTGTATGAAGCATGGTAGAAGAGTTGGTTTGCTTCCTTTTGTGAGACTGCTGACAATGTCTGGCTTCAGGGCCTGGGCCTCTCCAAGTCTCCCTAGAAGAGAATTTCACCTCTTAGCATGAAGGAGCTCACAGGGCATCATCATGTTCTTAGATGTTTGATTGGTTTTTTCCGTTCTGTGACGTCACATTCAATAGGATCATAGAATTGTTTTCGTTTTTGTGCATTTTCTGTCAGGGTGAAGACTCTAAAAACCTACTGGGACTACAAGGAAGCTGCATTAAATTATCAAGAAGCCTGGAAAGTGCTGCGTAGCCAAGCCCTGCTGGGTTGGGTCAAGAATGCCAAGGAATACTTGCACTTCACATGAGAATCCATGTGGCTATGTAAATCCAGCAATAAAAACAGCAGATACCTCTGCAGTTCAAGGTCCAGGAAAAAACATCCTCAGTTCATGTGCTGTAAAGAGACAGGAGTGAAAAGGAAAGAAATCTAGAGAAGTCTTTATTTTGGTTGTGTTGAAGCGCCCTTTTTATTAAAATGCAGAAAAGGATCGTTACTGACTTAAAGTTCTGAGCTGCGTGAAAAAATATGCCTCCAAAAGAAAGGAAGCAGGGATATGCTGCCCTCTGTTATATGAGGATTTGATCATAATTCCATAATTGTTGCAGTGAATGTAATGTCACCTGAAAGTGAAGCAGTGTGATGGAAGAAAGGCCGTCATTGTAAAATTTTAGTGCTGTTTTTTTCTTCCACTCCTCGTAATGTTATGGTTGTTTTTCTGTTGCTGGGACAACATGAATGTATAGTAAGTAATATTTTTATAACTCTTGGCTCTCCCTTTCTGGTGCCTGGAAGAATTTTCCATATCCCCCAGCCTCATTGCTTCTAACTGGAAATACTCGTTCTGTTAAAGTGTCATTTTTTCTGGTAATCCATCATATATAGTGCTATTTACTAAATATAGCCACAGCTATAGCCACAGCAGAAGTAAAAGAGTGCCGGGGAGGAGTCTGTGTCAAATAATACCACTTGTGATATCCTGTGCCCCTTTCCTAATTTCAGGACTTTGACAGATAACCCTCCAACTGCTTTGCTTCCATAGGAAGGAAAGAAATCTCCTGAATTACCTGTTCAAACCTGTCGGTCCTGTGTAACTACAGGCAAACATTTACTTGCTTTTCAGTGTTTTAAGCACTGTGCATCCCCCTTGTCCCCACCGTGGGAGATGGTTAATTAAAAGCAGAAGTGCCTTAGCCATTTATGTCACTGTTCCCTGGCAAGTGTTCATTAATAGCCTGGCAAAGGTGGAGATGCTTTGGGGGGACTGAAAGTAGTCTCTGGCATGTGTCTTGCGGTCTCTTGTCATCATGCTTTATTACCAGCTAACATCCGCATGGCAAAACCGTCAACACTGTGAGCAGTTGTGGGGGAAGCAGAGGATAATCCTCCCTAAACTTTGTCTCAGTTATTGCCTTCTGAGCGAGTTCAGGACTGTGTAACTGCAACTGAGCACACTCCCCCTTTTTATTTTTTCTCTTGTAAACCAGAAATCATGAAAGATTTGAACAAGGCAATGGCAGGATGAAAGAAGTGGATAATTTAGAACTTAGGAATTCTTCAGTGATTTGAATTTTCTGCTCTTCGGTATATTACAGTTTTGGATTTGAAGAATGGGCACAGCCTTTGCTGTCAACTACTGAGCTAGATATGGGCCCAAACAGTATACATCACATTACATTCTGAGAACTGATTACAGCAAATCCTTTTACTTCACACTTACATTGACTTGTCAGATAAGTATAGTTCTCTCTTACTTGTTGAAGAAATAGGAAATAACTTGAATTCTGTGTGTATAATCTTGTCCTCTCGAATGCAGCACTAACATGCAGAAAGAACCGTTGTACTGGTGAGGGGGGAGTCATTGTATGTGTTTTTAGAGGGCAGGGGATTATGGAGATGGGTGACTTGCATAAGTCATCAAAGGTTAAAAAATGGCCAGATGGGCTGCAGGGTGAACTGCTGAAGATGAATGGTAGCAGTTACTGTAGATGAGCAAATAGCATTTCAAAGGCTGAATACTGTAGTGTACCTAAGGAGCTACCAGTAAATTTCCAGGTTCCTGAAATTTACCTTTGTCCTTTCCTGAAATCTTGCAGAAACTATTAACTTACCATACCTCGTCTCCCTTTGTTAATCAGCAATGTCTGTAGTGAACCTGCTGACCAGACTGGAATGTTCCCATTTCCTATTCAGCTGCAATATTAAAATGGGTTGCGTAAGACTCGTTCTGTAGTCCTGGCATCAGACTGGTTTTCAGATGAGCAGTTATTTGATTTAAATTCTTATATCTCTTTTCTAAAATTTGAGCTATAGACTGCCATTTTTCTGTTACTGGTCAGGTTTAAAAGCAGTTTTTGAGGTGCTGAATACTGATATTAACCTCACTTTTTGGGTGGGGTCAAGGATGTATTTAAGCTAGAGCATGTCAATGAATAAAAGAGAGGGAAGGAACTTAAACAAAACAACGTTTAAAAGGTTAAGCCTGTGGAGGATCTTATACTCAACTGGATGGCATTTCTATGATGGAAAATAAATATTTAAATGATGCATCTGTTTGATTCAAAAATGTCAGGAAATGCTGTAGGCAGTACCGTGAAACTGGTTTAAAAATCAGAAGGGAAAGATGCAGAGATAGGAGAGGACACAGTCTCTGATTTTGTAAGAGGTAGTGAACTACACTTTGATCATTGTCAGCAGACCTTTGGAAGAATTGCTGCTGGAAAGTACCAGTTGATGTGTTCCAAGCTTGTATCACTCCTCTGTGCTGGGATAGCTGAGAGGCCATCCTGAGAAGCAGGGACAGGTGAGGCAGAGGGAGGACAGCAGAGTGCAGACCCTGCCACAGGGGAGCAGAGCTGGGGGAGTGAAGCAGCAGGAATGAAGTGCCCACAGTTCATGGTTGATAAAGGCAACCAAACAGCTCGTGGTAGCCCAGAGCATGGGAGGGTGCCAAGACACCCATGGGATGTGTAAAATGCTTTGCGGAGCATATTTGTACTACCCAGATAGGTCCTTGACTTTCCCAAACTAGTATGGGGACCAATGGTCCCTGATTGCCAGAATAAAGAAACTGTAATCATTGAGTGGGGTGTCTTTAACAGCTTCACTATTGCAGACATCATTCTGTTCTCAGTCACAGTAAGAAGGCAGGGCAGACTCCCTGCTCATCCTTAAGGAAGTCAACACCAGAGCATAGAAACAAGTGGTTTTGTCCCAGGGTAGGAGTAACCAATCTGTTTGACCTGGAGGCTGCATTTCCATGAGACAAGGTGCTATCATCCCAGTGACTTTGAAAAAGCAAGATTTTTGATCTTCACAGCATGCTTCCACTGCTCATCTTACGCAGGCTGGAAGGCTTACTGATCTCAGTACATTCAGAGTAAATTGAAGACTATTTAAATTACTGTATTTGTAGAAAAACTATGACTCTGAGGCAAGGTGTAGCCTTTCACTAGGAGTTAAATGAGCTTTGCAATAAATCCAGTAAGCCCTAGAGGAAAGGAAGAGCTCAGGCTGTGCTGCTGAAGGCAGGAGAATTCTGTTGGTAAGGAGGAAAGAAAGGTGTTGTTCTTTTTCTCATAGTATCTGATAATGCCAAAACTGGGTTGCAGCAATGATTTACAGGTAGAAGCAAGATAATTTTTTTAAAAAGACCACCTAAATGGTCAGAATACTAAATATTTACCGAATACTAAATTAGTCCAGTACTAGTCTAGTTATATTGGAGGTGACATTTCGATTTAGCTTAAAGATAGGTGATCCAGAAGTGTTGCTGTGTAGTAGTAACAAGGTATTTCTTAATTTTCTATTCAGTGTATCAATTGAAATGCCTTCCCGGTCCTAAAGGGTTAACAGCAAGTGAAGATCATATGGGACCCAAATGCTTTTAATAATTTTACTGGAGTGACTGTACTTTCTAAAGGGATGCATTTCATCTATGCATTTCAAAAGGAAACCTCTTGATGTTTTATTGTCATTTTAAGTGCATCTGCAGAGGAAAAGTAGAGTTACCACTGTAAAACATTAGTCCTTGCATTCTTTAGAAATATCTGGGCTCCTAACTCTAAACTAATAAATACAGAGATGTTAAAGAGAACAGTTACGTGGTGTTTTAAGAGGCTTATGAAGGGTAATCCAAAAGTCACCTTGATCATAACATCTTTCCTTGCTTTTAGATGTATCTATTTGCTAGCATGTAATTACCTTTATCTAGCAGTTTTAAGTGATGTGTTAACAGCTAAGAAAAAATATTACTTGATAAGTATAGAAAAACTGTGAAGTTTCAGCTTAAAGGAAACAACACTTTCCAGTAATAAAAGGTAATTAAAAAAAAAAAAAAAAAACCCAGATGAAATCACCTTTCTTCATTCTGAATCAAAAATTCTGTAAAGAGTAAACATTAATGCCTGGAAGGGGGGTTAGTATTTCAGGACGGAAGCAGTGACGGAATGTTTACTAAAGCAGTGCTATACAGTGCAGTGCTATTGTGAATAATGAAAGGCTTACTGAGACCAGCAGAGCATTTTCTGATGCAGTCAGCACATGGAGCACAGTTACTGTGACAAGCCTCAATAATAGAGTAGTGTGAACATTTCAGAGGCTCCTACCTTCACATTTTGGAGTATTTCTGCTAATATTTGTGAATGACTGCAGAGCCAAACATAATTCTAGGCATGATGTGTCTTCATGGAACTTTGGGTTAATATGAATTTAACTTTGGAAAGGGATAAAATTCCCACTGTAACTGGAAACATTTTAAAAATTAAATTTTTATGCACCACGTAGTGTGAAAATGAAGTAAAACTTCTATTAGGAATGTAAACTGTATTTGGTGTTTCCTTGCTGGCTTAGGAAGGTCAGAGTGATGCTACTTTTCCAAGCCTGCGGTATCCTTTAATAGGAAGGCATGAACTTCAGTACTGTGCAATTGGGTCAATGAGGTGGTTTTTCCACCCTCCTCTCCTACGTGATCCACAGGTTTGCTTCTTTGCCTGTAAGTAGAAGTAGCTGTGTAACTTTGCTAAGCCCATTTGAAGAGAAGATTTGGGTTTCTGACTAAGGCTCTTCACTTTTGCTGTACTGTGTACGTGCTTTGGCAACAGGGCTCAATAAACTGGAGGAACTGATCTGAATTCTTTATTGTGCATGCAGCATTAATAATTCTGTCTGTCTTATCAAAGCAGAATCATAGAGTGGTTTGGGTAGTTAGGGACCTCCAAAGGGCCAACCCTCCTGCAGTAAGCAGGGACACCTTCCACTAGAACAGGGTGCTCAGAGCCTTGTTCAATCTGACCTTCAGTTTTTCCAGGAAGGGCGCATTTAGAACCTCCCTGGGCACCGTGCTCATAAAAAAAAAATAAAATTCTTCCTTAAATCTAGTCAGAGCCTACCCTCATCGTCTAAAACCATTAAAATGTCTGCCCCATCTTTCTTACAGACCTTCTTTTAAGTACTGAAAAGCTGATATAAGGTCTCTCTGGAGCCTTCTCTGGGCAACTTTAGCTCTCTCAGCCTGTCTTCATAGGAGAGCTGTTCCAGCCCTCGGTAATTTTTGTGACCAACTCTGGACCTGCTCCAACAGGACCGTGTCTTTCCTGTGCTGAGGAGCCCCGAACTGTGCTTCAGTCTCACCAGAGCAGAGGAGAGGGACAGAATCCCCTCCCTTACCCTGCTGGCCATGCTTTTTTCAATGCAGCCCAGGACGCGGTTGATTTTCTGACCTGTGAGTGCAGATTGCCAGCTCATGTCCAGTTTTTCATCCTCCAGTATCCTGAAGTCCTTCTCAGGGTTGCTCTCATTCCCTTCAGTCCCAGCCTCTACTGATCCTGGGGGTCGCCCTGGCCCAGCTGCAGCACCTTGCACTTGTGGAACTTCATGAGGTTCACATGGGTGCACTTCTTGAGCTTCTCCAGGTCCCTGTGAATGGTGTCCCCTCCCTCTGGTGTGTTCCCAGACCACTCAGCTGTACAGGGAAGCTGTTCTTTCCCATACTGGGTTCTGTAACGTCCTTACAGTATCTACAGAGTTGTGATTGGAAAGGATGTGTATATTACCTGTAAAGGAACTACTTTTTAGGGGGAGGGGGTGTTTTGGTTTTGGGGTTTTTTTAAGAGCTGCTCATGCAGCTGTTTTAATCTGAACACCTTTGCAATTATTTCTTGCTCTGCAATAACTCATGTAAGAATTATACCTTCCACTTCTTCAGCTCTCTGGGTCTCCTAGTTGTTCTCCTAGGTGCTCTTTCCTTACATGCTGTGCTTCTGACACCTGGGTCCTGTTCTCCAAAATCCATGGTATTTACTCATCCATTGACAGCCTGTGGGCCAGCATAGCTCTTTTCCTGATGAGATCCAGTAGATCAGAAGCTCTTGGTTTTGGAACCCACAGAGAGCTCCTTGTTTCTTCCTTGCATCATCAGCCACACTAAAGTTTGAGAAGCTGTACAGTGTCTACTAAGTAATATAAGCAGCTGTATAGCATCTAGTTAATGTGATGTGTAACTTTCTGGCCAAAATTAAGGTAAAGAAATGACAGCACTGCCTGTTTGTGACAGGAACTTTTATTGTACTTGTTTGTTAATTGAGAAAGAGGAACATACTGGCTCAATTCAACACGATCAGCATCTTGCTCCTGCTAAGAAGCTAGCAAATCCAGTGTTCCCAATACTAATTTATTGGTTTTATTTTTCTTAAACTAACACCTCAAAACAGAATAAATGTGTGTTCTTCTTTTCATGTTTTAGTAGCCCAACTACTTTGCTTTATTATT